CCCGTCATGTGCAACTAGCGAGACGAGTATGTAGGAGAACCTTCATGACTCGGCCCTTCCCTTCCTGCTGGCTGGCAAAAATGGGGGCGGTAGAGTCATAAATTCCCTTTTGGGGGGGGGGGTTAATTGTGGTTGTGGTGGTTGTAACGTTGTAGTGTAGGTACTTTACCTACATGCATGTATCTACAATGTACCTACCAGGGTGTTTGGTTTTTTCAATGGCTGGCTGGGTGGGTCTTGGAGTAGAAGAAGTCAGACAGAAGGCTGTAGATACACACATGATTCAATTCAATTGTGCCTGGAGAATCAACTCAGTGCACGCGATGTCGGTTGGTTGGTTGGCTGGTTGGTTACGTGTAGTTAGTTGGTGGAAGTGGCCGTTTCAGCACCGCGGCTACCAATTGCAACCCGCTCCCCAAACAAGGCGTATGTGGTAAACAATTGCAACATGGTGTGTAGATGTAGAAGCCTTACATCTAGCCCGTATCTATCCGGTATTGAATATAGCCGGCCGGTTCTTGTAAGTTATGTACATGTATGTATGTAGGTCGCCGGAACCCCCCCCAAATCTTTAAGGGCTGCGTCATGGGATGTCACTCGGTTTTGCCTCTGCAAAGCAGGCATGTATAAAACAGGCTTGGTTCTCCCGTGAGGATATGTTGTGTCTTTTACGGCTCACCACCGGCCACCATGGTGTCAAAGCTAGCATCGAATGAATGAGCCCGGCTGCCTGAGCTAGGAGGAAAGTGTCGGGCCAAGGCCAGCCATATACATGAAACCGTCACACACACACATACGTGAAGCATGGCCATGGACGCACCCCAGACCCGCACGGCCCGGCCGGATCACGCAGGGGGGCAGCTTGTCTTCTATAGAGCTGTCTCGTGGTTGTCGTGTGGGGGTTGATTGTCGATGGTACTCTCACTCCCTAGCTAGCTACCCTATGCAGCGAGTCCACCACCACGTAGCTAGGCGTAGCAGAACATCCCCGACGCCTAGCTCCTAACTGCTGGTTTTACATGCGGGGAAAGGCCTCATAGCCGGTACGCGGTGAAACCGGCCGCTTAGGGCGGGGAAGTCAGAGTATGGTGCTCGGTGGGGCCGAGTGATGGGCTGTGATTTGTCGCTTGCGAGCTGTTACTGCGCGTGTGGGGGTGGGGGAAGGGCCGGCTGTGGTGTTCTTGGGGCTTCCTTGTTACGGTTGATGGAGGACGTGTGTGAGGTTCGCGGGTTTGCGGGTGGTCGGTTCTATAGAAGTCTAGGCCGTCTATGTCTGGGTCTGGGACTGGGTAAGATTAGATTGAGTTGGGTTGTTTGGGTGTAGTTGGCAAACCCCAGCTAAGCGCTAGACGCGTGGTTGTGGCATTAGCGTTTATGTTTACAACTCATGATATGGAGGCCTAAGGCCACCATACCCACACTCAACTATCACCACATCACGTGCGTGGTATACAAATGATTGTAAGAGAGCGCTCGAGCGTGTAGCACCTCAGCTGCTTACACAAAACTTACGTATGGCTGGATATGTGCCCCATTGTGCAACTGTGAAAGTCTTGTATGACTTACCGGCAGGACCTGTTTCTGATCAGCAGGAATATTCCGAATCATTTCTTCCATTCCCCAAGGTCAAAATAAAGTGGCCAAACAGGAAGGGAAGGGCACTCGGCCAAAAAAAAAAAAAAAAAGCTATTCTCGTCTTGGTAGGGTCATACTTGCTATAAATTTGCAATCAAGTTCTTCCCGGCCGGCCCATATACCTCTTTATAAACTTCCATAGTACTGCCTCTCTGGCCTCTAGTCGCCATAGCCACCCGGTACTGTACGTCCCTCAGCGGCAGCACGCCCCCTCCGCTCTCCTCACATCTTGGCTCCTTCACCAGATCCCCGTTCCACATATTGTTTTGGGATGGGAGGGGAAGAAAAAAAATATTTTGTCATACCAGCAAAAAGAGTTCACAGCCTAGTGCTGCTACATCTCCTACTCTACGTCCGGAGGGGGGGTCGAACGATCGTAGCTTTTTGTATAAGGCAAGACCCCTATACCGCTAGACCATTCAACCACCCCTATGCTGACAGTGATTTCGTTGGTGCTTTTAGCTGTGTGGTGTGTGGACGAGTCGGCTCTTGTTTTTAAGCTAGCTTCAATGGTAATACCGCATGAGATGAGGGTGGCTCGAAGCCAGAACGGTTTCTACACTCTATGGGTTAACCCCTTCCCGTGGTAAAGATGTGCGCACTTCTCGCAGCAACGAAGCCTCCGGGCTGTCGGTTTCCCTCTGTACTACTTGTATTTACATATATAGTAGTACTTGCCGGATTTTTTTTTTTATTGGGTTCGACTCTTTTACTCCAGGTCCAATAACTAACAGCGATCAGGCATGTGAGATATATCGGGGCCGGTGAAGCTATGGTTGGGGTGCATGATTCATGATGGGCAGCTAGGGCTTCCTGTAGATAGTTTTTTATTCTAGTCTTTGTAGTTGGGTTTGAATTCCCGAACCCGGGGATGGAAAGAAAAAAAACTACATATGATTTGTATCCCTTGTATACGTAGGAATTGAGCAATTTCTGATCATGGTCTAAAATTCGTTCAAAGATTAGATTCTAGGTCCCTTCCGCACAGGAGGCCTTTTTTTTTTTTTGGGGGGGGGGGGGGGGGGGTTATTATCGATAGTACAAACCTCCTGATGAATACTTGTACAAAGAAGATGGTACTATTTAGACCGTTGAACCTGTATGTTATATAGGCTCATAACCCATTTCACGTGGGGGATTTCCCCTCAGTTTGCTACTTGTATTCTAAAATAAAAATATGAACAATCTCTTCGATTCACCTAAAACCCTTCTTGGTATTCCCACAACCACCTACCACCCACCACCCACCACCCACCATCACCCAACGTGCAACCCAACTCAACCCAACCCACCAAACCAATCACGCCAACCCACAAACACCGCCCCCCCAGAAACGGTTGATTCATAGAATATCACTCGGCCACCTATAAAGCGGCGCGTAGCGTCTCGGACCCGTTCGCTGGGTGGTGGTGCTGGGGGGGGGGGGGGGGGTTGGCTGCGGAGGGGGGTATTGAGGGCTACTTCCTCAACTTCCCCATTGCTATCTACGTATACTCTGGGTTGTGGCCAGCTAGCTAGGGCCTTTCCTACCATAAGCTAAGCTAGTATACAGCACGCCGACTATATGTATGCCCGCCAATATAGTTAACCCACGTGACCGGCTACACGAAATTCAAAGCCCAAAAGGTGCGTGTGTGTGTGTGTGTTTGGGGGGTGGGGGGGGCGGGGGGGCGGAGGGGATCTGTCTGTAGTTCTTGAGTTGCGTACGGGTGATACAGGCTGGACGGATGGACGGATGGATGGGTAGTTGGTACTTATATACATGACAGATCTATGTGCGGGACTAGGACACCTCCACGGCCGCAAACCGAGCCTGGTGAGAGAGCCTCCAGCCCACAGTCACAGTCACAGTCCACAACAAATCACCACACCTCAAGCCAAGCAAACTATATGTAGTCCCTCTTTCATGCCCCTGGGCTGCCCCATGTGCGGCTCGGCGGGGCACTAAGCAGTCGCCGAGGTTCGAACGTGGAGTTCCTATAACTCCGAGATATATAGGCACAGGTACAAAATCTCTCTGTGCTTAACCACCACCAACCCAGACCAACGATACCTATCTACCTACCCACCTACTACAACAACAACCGACATTCCCTATCCGCCGTTTTCCAAACCCCCTCCATCCACTCTCGTCTCCCCCCGGCCGTATCCCCTCGTGTCCAACCTTTACGCTGAGCCACAGGTTCTCACTTTTTTTTTTTTTTAAAAAAAAAAAAAAGAAATCATGTTCAATTTGATTCTAGGTACAAATGATCGCATACAGTAGAAACTATGGCGCAAAAAACCCCCACGGGCTCTCACTCACTCACTCACTCACACATACATACAGAGCAAAAAAAAAAAAAAAAAGAACAAAAGGTACTGCAACGGCGGCCCGCTACTACCCCCACTCCTTTAAGGTTCGAACCCAGGGCCTCGCGGTCCTGAGCAAACACACAGTGTCTCACCCGACGCCGGGGTCTAAACCGTTAGACCGCTCGCCCTTGCTGGTATTGCGTGGGAAGTTGATACTTAACCCTGGTTGGCACTGTGCGGAAACCCCAGCCCTTGGATTTCAAGACTCTTCGTTCGTGCCCGCGATTCACATACACAGTCAGTCTGGCGGGGTTGTTGCGCAGGGTCGGGACTGCGGTGCGGTCTCCTTATAAGGAAGGGTACGTCGGGACCGGAACTTGGTGCCCCTTATAGAGCGATTACCCTTCGTTATAGGAGGAGTACCTGCGAGGCCCAATGAGGACCACCTAACTAACACCTACTTACCCTTATAAGGCGAATACCCTTTCAACCCGAACCCTTATAAGGAGATTGCACTGCAAAAAGAGTGGGGCTTCTTGCTTTGTCCGTACGTGCTTACTGCAAAAAAAACTCCTTTACATAAGTGCCAACAATAAATTCTACCAGCCATTACTATACTCACTACATGTATTCAATCCGTGCCAGTAAGTAGCTGATTGACTGTATGTAATTCTCCACAATCAACGTCAACAGCATGCACATGCGCAAAGTTTCAAAAAACAGTACTAATAGCAATAGTAACAATAATAATAACAATGATACAATCTCCCACACACCCCCTTCCCCCAATGTACGCAAACAAAAAAAACAGAGTTCCCCACCCGCCAAACAAAACCCAGTCCAACCAAGGTTAAATAAGAACAAGAGAAGAGAAAAGTAGCAGAGTAAAACGTAGAAGAAGAAGAGTAAAGCAGAAGTCGAAAAAAAAAGACGAAAAAGAAGAGAGAGAAAAGGGAGAGAAAAAAAGCTACGGGACTCCATAACCCCTACAAGCAAACAGAAAAAGGACAAAAAACCTCACGACAAAAGACAGAAAAACCCAAGTCCACCACAAAAACCGCAAAAACCAATTACCCCCTACCACCACTATCTCCCCCCCTACTCCCCTCACTCACCTCCAAACTCCCCTGCGACACATCCTCAAACTCCATCTCCCACCTATCCACCTCCCTAAACTTCTCCACCACCTCCCTCATCCTCGCCGCCCTCCCCCTCCTCCCCGCCTCCCCCATCACTACTCCCGGAACAACCGTCTCATCCCCACTACTCTCCGCCGCCGCCATCGCCGCCGCAACCGCAACCGCCGCATTCCTGCTCCTGTTCGGCGAGTCGTTCTCCTTCTCCGACGAGACAGACTTGCGCGCATACGTCTTCGCCACCCTCCCCGACAGCGTCCCCGCCGCCGCCGCCGCCGCGCCCGTCGTCTTCTGCGCCTTCCCCTTGGTCTTCGTCTTCGCATTCCCACCCCCCGCGGCAGCAGCAGCCGCCGCCGCCTTCTTCCCCCCCGCCTTCGGCGCCTTCTTCTTCTTCCCCGCCGCCACAGCCGCCCTCGTCGGCCGCGACAGCTCATCCGTCTCATCATCCTCCTCCTCCCCCACCGCCACATCCTCCTCCGTGCTAACAACATCAAACTCGTCCCTCTCCGCCGCCCTCACCACTTTCTTCCGTCTCGGCAGCAGCCCGCGCAGGTCCGCCGTCGTCATGTTCTTTGCTGCTGCTGCGGCCTTTACCTTCTCAGCCGCCGCCTTCCTCCGCTTCCCCTTCCGGTCTGTTGCAGCCTCCGCATCGTCTTCCGCCTCTGCCTCTGCAGCCGCATCCTCATCACTATCCACCACAGCGCCCGACGAGCGGCGCTTCCGCATCCGCCCCTGCGCCGCCTGCGGCGGCGGGGACGACTCCGGCGGGCGCATGGTGTCGTCGAACACTGCGTTAGCGCTGGTAGTGTTGGCGGGCAGGCGCACGGGTGACTTCGGGTCCGAGTAGATTGTAAACGCCTCCTCGTCGTCCGCGCCGGGGATATAGAATGCCTCTGCTCTCCCACCGCCGCCCTGCTGCTCATCGCCCTCCTCGAGCTCCACGGGTGCAAACCCGCTCTTGCGGCCACGCTTAGGCGTTGGCGAAGCGCGGGGGTCGCGATTCTCGCCCCTCCTGGCCAGAGCGGGCCGATCGGAGCCGAGGAGAGTGGCTGCAGCTCGCGCAGGCGTGGGCGCTGCGCGGACGTGGGGCGCGAGGGGGGCGGCGGGGAGTAGCCGGCGTCGGAGCCGAACTCGAGCACCATTAGGCGCTTTGTTGTGGCAGCGGTGGTGGTGGTGGTGGTGGGCATGGGTGGGGCGAGGAGTGGAAGTGTGTTGGTGTTGCGGTGGGGGTGGGGGTGGAGGGCGTGGGTGTGTGGTTCTCCGCATTGCTGGAGGCAGGGACTTGGATTTCTGCTGATGCTGTGCTGCGCGCGGGTGTGGACTCTCTGGACGGGAGGGAGGGCTCTGGGTCCGCGGTGGTGGTGGTGGGTTTGCGACGCGTGGTGCGGGGTGGTGGGGCGGGGGCAGGGGAGGGGGAGGGCGAGGGCCTGCGACGCGTCGTGCGGGTCTTCTTGACGGGTTCGTCGGAGGTGGGCGTGGGCAGCGTCGAGGGCGAGTCTTTGGTGCCTGAGCGGGTCGTGCGCGATTTCGTGTTTGTAGTAGCAGCTGTGGTTGTGGTTGTTGTAGCCTTTGTGGGCTTCTTTGTGGCTGTGGTTGTGGTCTTCTTGCTGGTCGCGGCTGGTGCGGAGGGGGGCTTGACGGTGCGGATTGGGCGGGGCATTTTTGTTTGCTAAGGCAGCAGTGTGCGTGTATGTGTGAGTAGATGTTTCAATATCACGAGATTGATGATAGCGATGATGATTGTGGTGGTGGTGGTGGTGGTGGTGGTGGTTGGGTGTGGAGGCGTGGAGGTGTGGAGGTGTGAGTGAGAGAGTGATGTGGAGGTGTGTGATGTGTGATGGGATGTGTGGATGGTGAGCGTGAAAGAGAGGACTCGGTCTGTGAGTGTTACAGAAATGGCAATAACCCCCCAATACGGCAATTGTGACGTGACGCGTTGTTGTGGCTTCGAGGGAAGGGAAGGAGGGAAGCTGAGTCAGGATTGTTCGCTTCGCTTAGTTAGTGTCTGCAGCCAGCCGGGGTTGGGATCTGCGGAAGGAAGCGAGCGAGGGAGGGTTTGACAGTTTGATGTGGCGAGATGGGATGGGTGGGTGGGTGTCTGAGGGGGGGGAAATATCAGGAAATGGGGGTGGGGGGGTATAATATCAGAGAAGAGGGGCAAGAGGGAGGGGGGGGGGGGGGTAAAGGTCTCTTTATCACCATCTTCCACGCTTTCAAGATATCACTGTTGCTGTACCTCTCTTCAAGTCACTCCTCTACCACCCTACCTACCACCCCACCACCCTACCACCCTACCATTCTACCACCACCCCTCCCAACAACATATGCACCAGCACCAACCAAGCGTCAAAACGCATGCAAACACAAAAAGCAAAAAAAAAAAAAAAACACAACCCTTGTACCCAACAACCATATGTGGGGGGGGGGGTCAATGATCGATATGCCACTTTTTTTTTTTTTTTCCCCTTCCCGTGTTGGAGGACTTGCGGCCGGTGGGTGCCGTTTGATATTTTATGAGGTGAAGGTGTTTTGCATACCACCCATCCTGGACTGCAAACTCGTCTGTTCGCATGTGGCTTTGATCTCGGGACGGTGCCGCATCCCATCTGTATACCTAAACCTTGCTGACTGGCCTGCGGGCCGTCCGTCACATGTGCCTGTCTGTGGTGGGCATGGGCATGGGCATGGGCATGGGCATGGGAAAGGATCGGCCCGGCCGGCCTTGGAAGGAGAATTACCCCCGCACGTCTCTCCCAACCCGACTCAACCCATCCCAACCCATCCCAACCCCTTACCACCCTGTGCTAGAGGTTTTCAGACTAAAGTCCATTTCTCCAAACAGAGGCAGACGAGATAATGATAATGGTGAATGACGGTTTTCCCAAGTCGATGTCGCAGCTCTCAACTTTATAGGCCACCGAAACGAAAAGAGTAACGCATATCCTTAACCGAGTCCAACTAACCAACCACGTAGCCTCTTGAAACATGCTTTTTCAAACAGCCTTTAGACAACGTCATGGACCACCGCTGATGCCGATGATTACTAACAAAGGCCAGGTTGCGTCATGGCCTATCACTCACCCACCACCCCACCCCGCATCGAATCGCATCGCGGGTGCAGAGCCGCACACGACACGGTGATTGGTGGCTGGCGGAGCCCGGGGGGGCTTCGGTCTGTCCACAGAGAAGAGATCTACTCTAGATGGGCGCGGTTGGTGCTGGTGTTGATGTTGATATATATCTTAATGTACATGTAGCTCTTCCACCTCTCCCTCTCCCTCTCCTTCTCCCTCTCGAGCCCCGTCCTCATCCTCTGTTTACTACGGACGTAACTAACATGTACTTACTCACAGCTCTCCTCGCCTCGCCTCACCCTCTCATGCAGAAAGAACAGAACAGAACTCCACATTCACAAACGAAATACTGAAAGAGAAAAAACAATCAGAAAAGAACAACACAACCATGATCCCCCCGCGACAGAGGGGGGGGGGGGGGACGAAGAAGAGACATGCAAAAAAACCAAAAAAAACCAAACGAGCAACTGGTAACAGGATTGATATAGAAAAGGGGAAAAACAAACATTTTTCATCAAAAACAAAAAAAAGGCAGAAAAGCAGATCTTATCATACCGGCCGTACGTAGACTAAAAGGGGGTGGGGGGAGGTATTCTACACGGATTGATGGGAAGGTAAAGGTAAAGAAGAAGGAAAAGCATCAAAAAAACAAAAACAATGCCACCATGCCATAAATCACCGCCTCTCCCGCTCCCTCCTCCCCTCCCTAATTAAACCCACCCGCCAGCTCACCACTCTACAACCCAACCCCTAACCTGCCCGCCCACCCTCCCCCCCGCCTTCTACCAAATCTTAAAACATGGGCGGAACAAAAAAAAAGGCAATTTCAGTGGTTTCTGAAAATCGATCCCGCATTGTTTCATAACAAGGGGAGGGGGAAAAAAGGATGGAAAGTAAGTAATAATCCCCCTCCCCCCCCCCCCCCCGGGTCCTATCTGATTCTGATGGCTCTTCTTACTATCAATTCCCAACCCGCATGCCCGCCCCACCCGACTCTCCCCATCTAAACCCTTGGAGAAACAGAATGAAAAGAAAAAACGATTTCGAAACACCAAACACATAGCAAAAAAAAACAGAAAGAGAAAAAGAAAAACGATGTCATCTCACTCAAACATGAAAAACAAAGGTAGCAAGCACTATGAAAAGAAAAAAGAAAAAAACGGCAATATCCCTCTCCCTCCCCACCACTACCGCGACCCCTCCCCTTCCCTCCCTTATCATATGAACGAAGAAGGGAAAGGGAAGAGAAAAGGAATAAGAGAATAGAAGACAGGTCAGAGCTGTAGGGTCTTAGTGAAGAGAGAGAGGGAGAGAGAAGAAATTTGGTGGTAACTATAAACTTGTAAATGAGAAAGAAGAACAATAAAGAAAAGAAGAAGAAACCCTTTGAGTTCAGACAAGCTGGAAAATAAAAAAAACACCCAATCAAATTCTCTTACACCATTATTTTTTTTTTGCTTGGCTGGTACGAAAAAAGAAAAGAAAAAAGGAAATCCCGAGACTATCACACCACGTGACTATGCTGACAATTGCCCCACTCCGTTTCGCCCGATTCCAGCCTTAGGCCTTCCGTTCCGCTCGCACCCCCTCTTGGGGTTCTAGCCGATTGTACTATGCAGAAAATGGTTTCCACCAGCCCATACTCTGCACCCGAGAGATAAATAGCGAAAGACCAAAAGGAACAACGCGATGTTGATACAGTAGCTAAGATCCTTATCTGGACTTCGGAGGGGGTGGTAAAGGAAGCAGTGAAGAGGCCTGTAACGCTTGTAACCGCTTTGTGATTATCTCCTGCAGCGCTAAAAGTTGCGATCTCTCCCTCTCTGGGGAGAGCGTGGTGTTGCTATTGGCATTTGTGTCAAGTGACGCGGTGGCTGGCGACAGTGTATGGTTTTTCAAGGGATGAGGCTCGCCAAAAAGAGCCTTGACAGATGGAGTGGCCTCGCTCTGTGTATGAAGAAAAGCATGTCAACGTGGAACAACTAAAACAACCAACTATCCATTGTACTTACGATTAAAGCTTCTATTAAGGTGTTAATACCTCCCCCATTAAAGGTGGATAAGACAGCGGAATTCCCCGAAAACTCTAACAAATGCTGGACAAGCTGTTGGTCGATAAGTGGGCGGTCCTCAAGAGGCAGTAGAGGCGAAGTAGATAGATGGGTGGCGTTTGTTGCTTTACTCTTCTTGAGCTTGCGCGTTTCCTTGATAGGCGGTCTTCTTTGGAGGGGGGGAGGGGGGTCAGTCCAAAAGTACCATAAGTCTACCTGTAGAGATGAGACACTTACTCTGTCTTGACTTTTTCGATAAAGTCCAGCTTAATACCTCTTTCCGGCAACCTGTAGACAATTCCGCTGACCATGACATCCTCAAACATCACCTCTTCCTCGTTTTCAATCTCAATAACCCCGTTGTTCTTAAATCCTCGCCTAAGGGAGGTATCGACGATAGGCGCCTTTTTCGGCCGGCGAGGTTGTAGCTACGAGTAATAAACGGTTAGGAGATCGAATAAAACGTTAAAGAGCAGGTTTGTCTAAAGATTTTCAACTTACTCCGTCTGCGTGCGCTGGGCACATCCACTTCTTTTGGGTTGGGGGAGGATTGGGCATTGGCATTGGTCCGATACAATCCAGATGCCAGCTAAGTGGACAAAAATCGCAAGAAATGATCCGCTGCCCATTAACAGCAGACTTCCCACAATGGTGACAAAGGATGGCATTTCCAGCCTTATCCTTAAGTTTCAGAGTATCGTATTCTTCTACAAAGCCACTCTTACTACATATGCCATATCGGCATTGTATCAGCATATAATCACTGAAGCTCGTTTGATAAGAATTCAATACATACCTAAACTTCTGCGTTTTATTATCCCGGACATCAACGTATTCACCCAAGGCTCCTGTCTCTACCCCAACAAAATAGCCACGGATATCCGGTGGCAATCTAAAAGAGGTCGGATTTCTTCGATTGATACCGTCGATCAGTTCGGAAAAAAGGCCCCTGGGTGGCTTTACTGGAGGATTGTGTTGAGATGTGCATTTGTTGCAAAACCACATTCCTTCCGGGATCTCTTCTAGAGGAGGATTCAAGCACGTGAAATGGAAAGAGCGGGGGCAGCGTTCGCAGCAAAGAAATCGGCCAGGTCCGTTACATACAGCGCACACATCTTCGTTCTCCTGATGGGGTGTTAGCATTGGGAAATTTCATGCCCATCTCAGAAGTGATGTTTTTCGCTAAAGAAAGCGGGGGAAACGCACGGAAACCTCCTCTGACCCGTACCGAACACGTCTGTGATCACTCAAATCACCAATCCCAGCGGTCACCACAAACGGTTCCGTAACAGTTTTCTTGACCGGACTAATTTGCAATATTCTCACACTGGTCAGCTGTTATATCCTCGAAAAAAATTTCACGTTGTAGAACTCTAATTTGACAAAGTCAAATTTTAAATGAACACTCACGAAATTTTAATTTTATTTGTCTTGTTTTTTTTCTTTGGAGGTTGGGTTGGAAGGGGGGCTGGAGCTGGGATTGGCGCTGAAGTAGGAGCCGCAACTGAAGATGATGGGGTGACAGAAGAAGAGGCATACGTCTGTGGTGGTGGTGTCGAGATACTAGGGCTTCGATTCCTTTTCCTTGGGTTCCCGTTCCCCTTTGCTGGACGGCAAGCAATCCCAGCGGGCGGAGGATCACGAATGCTGCTGTCTTGTTTGATTTGGTCGAAAGTTGGAAGCTTTATTCTTTTTGCCTGATGCTCCGAGTCATTGCCTTGAATTGGTGTAAAATTATTGACTGGAGAAGGAACTCGACTACGATGGTGAGGTGTCGAATCAACAGCAACAGCAACTTTGCCGCCCTTTTGTTGATCTTCGTCAGTTTCTGAGCAAATTGAACTTAAATCTGAATCCGTGTCCTCATCAGGTTGCTCCCCGTGTTGGTGCTTCTTGATCCCATTCTTCTTCCGCTCCTTCCTGCTCATCTTCTCCTTCTTCACAATACTGTTGCCACCCGTAGAAACGATGCCGTTTGTCGCTGCAGTATTCTGGGCCTGAGTCTGCTCCTGTTGCGGCTGCAGTTGTTGTTGTTGTTGCAGCTGCGGTTGCGGTTGCGGTTGCTGTTGCTGTTGCTGTTGCTGTTGCGGTTGCGATTCTGGTTGTGACTGCGATATATCCATGGGGGTTGGAGGGGGGGCTCCGTCTGGAGGCTGTGTACCATTTGCTGCGGATGTAGGCTCTGCGGACGTTGCGTTAGGATCCCGAGCATTCCGTACGTATGTCTGAAACTGATGAATCTGTTCCGATGTAGCCTTCTGGGCAAGCACCGCGTCCAATAGATCTGCGAGTAGGGAGTTGGATAGTGATTCATCGTAGAGCTTTTTAATAGCGCGTCCTAGATCAACATTCCCAACCTGAGCACTGCGCTCGATCGCAGCATCAACTACCATAGACAGCCGCTGTCGGCCTTGTGGTGTTTTGCTGTTTGGGGCATTTCCATTCAGCCAGGCTCCGTTGACAGCACCCGGTCGGGAACCATTTGAGCCCGAGGGAGTTGAGGGATTAGCCGGCGGCGAACCGGAAGAGCCTATCGTCATTCCTCCAGGTGATGGTGCCGATACGGGCGCCGGTGTCGTTATCACAGGAGGCTTCACTTTAACAGTTTGTGTAGAAACTGTCTGCGTCTGCGCAGAACGTGAGGATCCAGCCATGGGTGTGACTGGTAGTGGTGGTGGTACGCCGCCGCCACCATGTCCTCCAGCAGCAACAACCGTCCCAGAAGCAGCTCCTCCGGCAGCCCCTCCCCCGATAGAAACCCCTCCAGCGGGAACTCCCCCAGCAATGTTTCCCCCATGAATAGCGCCCACAGTGGCAGCGCCGACAGGAACAGCGCCTCCAAGAGCGGCGCCTCCGGGAGCAGCGCCTCCAGGAGAAAAACTAGAAGTAACACCAAGAGAGGCGCCAGGAGCAACTATAGGAGCAACGCCAGGAATCATTCCTCCAGGAACTGATTCGGGGACTCCTCCAGGGACTCCATGAACAACCCCATGAACAACTCCTCCAGGAACTCCCACAGGAACTCCTCCTCCAGGAATTCCCGTAGGAACTACTCCACCAGGAACTCCCGCAGGAACCCCCGCAGGAACTCCCGTAGGAACTCCCGCAGGGGCTACTCCCACAGGAACTACTCCTCCAGGAATCACTCCTCCTTGGGCAACTCCAGCTGGAGCACCTCCTCCTCCTCCCCCTCCTCCTCCACCTGCTTGAGCAACTCCTCCGGGGGGCACACCTGTAGTAATAATTCCTCCTCCTCCTACCCCGGAAACTCCAGCTCTAATCCCACTCGAGATTATTGGGCCGCCATTTGCTATTTTGCTTACAGGCGCCCCATTTCCTCCAGTTCCTCCCTGTGTCCAACCTGATGCCCCATTTCCCTGTGGTGGCTGCTTCCCCTTCTTCTTTCCCCCGCCAGGATAAGGACGTTTTGTTGCCTCGAGCATTTTCGGTGTAGGTAGCTCCCCAAGCGGGAGCATGTGTGTTGTAGAAGTGTTCATCAAAGCCTTATCGTCGTACTCCTTATAAGATGCCTTAGGAGTGGCCAACGGGGGCTCTGACCAATCTGACTCGGAGCCGTGTTTTACGCTGCCCGAAGCCGAAGCCGAAGCGGATGTCGCTTTGTGTGGAGCCGAGGCGGGTTGTGTATGTGGAGCGGAGGGTTTGGAGGATGATGGTGTGTTGACAGGAGTCGAGCGACGGGTCGATGGTCGCGACGAACGTGATGGTCGCCCATCCTTGGACTCTTTTGGAGGCATGGCGTAATAAGCCCGGAAATTTGGGTTAACTTTCAAGCGGCAACGGATACGGGAAACCCAAAATGAAAAAAATGAAACAGCAAAACGATGATTGCTACTTCACGCGAAAGAGTAAGAGTTGCTAATGCGAGCGAACTCAAGAAAGTAAAACCGTGTGCAATCTAAAGGAAGTTCAAAAAAATGTGAACAAAGTAGAAAGATGACGATTGAAATGAATATAAAAAAATAACCCAATTAAAAAGGGGAAGCCAGGTTTCTAATAGGTAGTGATAGATATGTGGGTGTGGGTTGAGGGTTGGGGGTGGTAACGGGGGATGTGGGTGGTGGGGGGAGTTGGGGAGTGGGGGGATTGAAAAAGGATGACGGTGGCGGGAGAGGATAGGGCAGAAGTGATCGCGTCGTGAATTTTTAAGTGTTGTGGTGGTTGAGGCGTGTGCCGGTAAGGAAAGAGATGATCGAGTGAGCAGGTTGAAGAAGTGTGGTGTCCAGGTAGAGGGGGTTAGGTTTGGCGCGGAGACACAGGGCTGGGTGACAGGCAGTGTACGGTCTATGTGTAAAGAAGAAGGCCGGGGGGAATAGACTGAGAAAAAAGAGAAAGAGAGAAAGAGAGAAAGAGAGAAGAGGGCTGGGCCAAGCACAGTCTCTCGCTCGTTCGTTGGTTTTTTCCTTCTCTTTCCTATGTAGTATTCTTCTACCAACTCTCTGCAGTAAGCACAGGGAAGGAGAGGAAGGAAGGAGAGTGGAAAGGGAAAAGGGAAAAGGGAAAGGGAAAGGCAAAAAAGGTGCGGGTGAGCTGTCAACGACTCGAGCCACTGCCTAGCAAATTCGCTAGACAACCGCTGCTACTCCTCTTGCGATGACGGTCTACACAAAGACTCGGTGGACCAAGATGAATCTATGTGGGTGGACGGTGGTGGTTGTGGATGATGATGATGCGTGTGTGTAGAAGTGTATGTAGGGCACAGATCCGAGGAGGGATCGCTGGTTGTCTCTGGGTAGATGTGAGAGGGTAGAAAGAGGAAGGGGAGGAAGGGGAGGGGAGGAGGAAGGGAGCCGGAAGGGAAGTCCACGGTGAGAAACAACTATCCTCACTCGCTCGCAATACAACCCATGGGCTCATTGGGAATGACGATGGAAAAAACATTGGGCAGCTTGCTACATACAAACATCTTCATCATCAAGGACATGTTTGTTTCCAAGTTGGCAAGGTGTGCCAGCAACACTTTGCCCCCTACATATACCTTTCCAGGCAAATACATTTCATTCCCTTCATCTTATTGCGATACAATGTCCAACTTCCCCTAGAGCTATCCGAACCTAAACCCGTTGACCCATTCCCGCATCACCATTCATCCGCTGAAGACACAAATCCACTGTTGTACATAAAATCTTCCAGACCGTCTGCTAGAACAAAGAATTTCAAGAAACAAACCAGAAAAAAATGATATCGACCATGCATGAGAAACATTTCATCGAAAGATACATGCATCTTAAGATCATTCACTCCGCCACTGATCCTCGTGCAAGCATAAATATAATGGGTGGAAAGTAAGAACTAAAAAATAGAATTGGCGTCAGCAATACTATTCATGCCGACAGGGAGAAGCAAAAACCAACCACTAGTATCACGACTTGGATACATGTAGTGCTGCATAAAGATGCAAGGCGGAATCCAAATTTTCCCGATGCAAACTTAGCTCCTTCGTGCAAGACTCGTCTCAGAAATGGTCAAGATCCAATCTGAAAAATCCAGGAGAAACCCTTCCTTCGAACAGTAAACACAAGTGGGAACCAAGAATCAAGAATTGTTTGACATTCTCTGGTGTATAGATTGCTGGGTCTTCGATGTATAGATCCAAGGTATTAAAGCGTAAATACCTTTTGGTGAGACGGAAATGTATTGGAAGGACCGAGGTCTGGAAATGATGCAAATAACCATTTTTGTGCAGGGTTTAGTATAATAAACCAATCGTCCCCTTAAGCCAGTGTATCCTAGCCTTTGTAATAATGCCCAATTTCTTGATCATAGAACAAAAGGTTTCAATTATATGTGTTTGTGGCGATAGAAAAGTGTCTTGACAGAATATTCTATTAGAAAACATCCATGGTGAGGGAAAGTGTTCAAGCGGGATCCTGGCTGAGGAGTAAGAGCACGAATATCATAGAGGCCCCCTTGATATTGCACACCTACCTAGTCTGATGAATACCGTGTGTAATCTTTACCACGGACCCCAATTAGGTTGGATGTTCTGCCAGTATATCAGTTTCACCGCAGATTTGATTTTGACTTCTGTGAATGCCACCTGCCCTCCATGTTTGCCATGTAAATATTATTGGGTGGTTGGTGAAATAACCATCCGACGAGCATAGAAACACAGCTCATGTATACTAGATTCTAGTGCCAAGAGCCAGGGTGGAGAGTTTCCACCGCTGGAAAATATTATGTCTCGATCCGGCATTATGACCGGACTTTGACCGCAAAGAAAACGAAATCCTGGATCTCGTATTTTGACGGCGATATTGTTGACTTCCAGGCTGCTCCATGAGATAAGAAGCAACCCGAGAGACGGGCCATTGCAGCCAATATTTGCGATATGGACTTGTTCTGCAGCATTTGTCGTGTTAGCACCTTCCGGAGTTCCAGCAAGAGCCCAGAGAGTTGGAAACCAAACAATAATTGCGTCAAGAAGAAGCTCACTTACAGAGAAAGATTAGATATAGGTATAGGTACAATGGCACGTGGTAGAACCACGCGCTATTCACTTGAGAATCTAAATCGAAATACCCCGCAAAGGCAATTGGTATAGGAATGGGAGCTTTGATCGCGTCCTCGTTGCTTGCAGTGGGGATAAAGTGCTGCTGGGTGTTCTGATCTTCACCTCGCAGCAGCTATCTTGCGAGCCCCCGCAAAATGTACTGTCATGAACGCTGGATAAGTAAGTCCAAGCTGGTAAGCGCTGTGGGGGGAAGGTGTACGTTAATAGATTGAAGGTCTTGAAGCCGTCACCAGGGTGATTGTTGCAGTCTTGGCGTTGTTGATACATAACCGTGTGGCGTTGAACGTATCAACATACAAACTTAAATTTTCGAGTCCATTTAGAACGACGACAATACCGCAACTCAAAAAATATATAACGTACAAAGCAGTTTATAGGAGACTTTGTTGCAGTGTATCATTCCTCTCTTTGCTCTATAGAATCTTCGCTGACAAAGATATCCTGCAGTAGAAGTCATGATAAAGCACAAAAGACGGCCTGCTTTATGAGATTAGGTAACGTAGTTTTCCTTTCCCTTTTCTATCCATAAACTCTAGTCTCAGTTCAATTTCTCCTACCTCAAGATATCCAAAATGCTTACCCAAGCTACAGTTGCGCATGGCATTGCCTTTTTGTTTGCCCGCCCTACTTTCATAGAAAACACGTCCCAGTATCCAAGGTTATCCCAAGTCACAGCCTCTGTATCCCTTTTCAATACGTTTCGGTTGTCAAACGTACTCCATATGGTTTCTAGTCAATACACAATGCTTACAGACATGAAACTACACCCAACAGCCTCATCTCTTCGTAACCTACAAGTGGCCTTCGTCCGATAAAATTATCAGCACTGGACAGATGAAGCCAACGCCAACGCTGACACCCGAACGAACCGCCCCTAATGCGGTTGGCGACCAGGCTTCGCCCCCTGACAACAAGCATAAGCCTAGGGCTCCTAAAGCGCTGTCTATCAGACGCAACAACAATTACAGATGGTAAAGATACTGTGCAATACGTGCTGCCTCTCCTTGCACCTCGAACGAGCATGGGGAAGGCGGGGGAGGCATGAGTGATAGTCTGTGATGCTGATTCATGGAGGCTTAAAATGGCTTGGCATTTGAGCATTGTGATGCCACCAATGACTTGGCGAGAGCCTTTTTGACGCGAGGATTCGCCCACATTACAGCTTAACAAGGAAACTTTCGGTTCGATTATGATCGCCATGATTATGCAGAGCCTTCGGTTGATGGCCCTTCGGTATATACCTAGGATGCCTTACACGGGAGTGCAAATCCAAATAGTGGCACAAACCAACAATAAATCTTTAGGGACAGATACATATATAAACCCATGCATCCCAAGGATAGGATTTCCCCGAAATATTTCGGTCCTGCGCCAGTCTGAGACAATATAATTGTTGAGATAGTTAATGGTAGTTGCATCACAGGTTATCACTCGACATGTATATCATAGCACGACCTCTACGCGTGAACGGGGAAGAGGTGCCGTGGAGCGATACATATATAAACACTTAGTGTGGCTCAAGATATTAATCGTCTGAATGTTAAAACCCGGTTGGAAAAGTGTTGGACGAAAGTACATATTCCCTTGGGTACGCGGATATTGTTTGATTTTCATCTGCAGACAAGCGAGCCGCAGTAAACCTGGCTGAGAATATGTAATTTGTGTTGTTTTTCTTTTGTTTCTTTTTCCCCCAGGTTTTGAGGTGCGGTTACACGCACACATGGGGGCTTCATAAACTATCACTCGGTGTCTTGGCGGGCTCTTCCACGTGGGCGTGGTGGTAGCGAGCAATGTCTATGTAACCAGTGTGTGTAGGTATCCCAACGAAGGACGAAAGCACTCCAATATGGAATTGCAATATAATATTTGTTGCCCTCGTTTCCCGAGAGAGTAGGTGCGGGTAACCGCTTAAAAAATACTCCTGGAGCGACCATGAGGTTTGAACGAATGATACTAATAGCAACGTGAATGGTTCTCTACACACATTGAGTGGTTTGAGCCGCAGTCATTCGAGATATAAGGAGCGATTGGATGATTTCTGTCAAGGATAGGGTAAGTATATGGTTTTCATATAAGTTTTATATTCTATGTTTACACTCCTGAAGGTCACAAAATACACGTGTGTAAATCAGAGGATTATAGAAATGCGGTATTAGCCGATTATAATAGGCCAGAGCTCTAACTTAAAGCGCTTCTTATTGGTAACGAGCTGAGTTTGCTTGAGGGTCTATGTTTGCACAATTGTGGTTACATTGCTTGAAGTTGTGATTAATTAATGTTTCAACACATCGATTATTTGTGGGGTTTAGGTTGTTGCTTCCTTTTGTCTAGGGCTGATGGTGATAGGCGAGTACACACGGCCCACGAAGTTATTCACAAATACATCTTCAACATCCCGCTTTCAAAACCTCTATGGAAAGGGAATATTTTCACTATCATGGCCGGGGTCGGCGGCTGAGGGAAAGAGAAATGGAAGAAAGGGACGGACGGAAGAGGGACCACTCACAGTTCTGTGCAGCAGCAGCGAGGGTCAATTTCATTTCGGTCAAAGCTGGCACGGTACGCTGATAGTCCAACCGAGAAGGGCTTAGAGCGAAGTCTAGGATGTCCCCAGTCGGTGGATGCATTGGGACGTGCCTAGTCTTGGACTGGCAACACCAACCCTCTCCCCTTCCCCCTTTTCCATGATTTTCTATTTTTCCTTTTTGCACAGTATTTTTTTTTGGGTCTGGGGGCATTTTGGGGATCGTTGGTAACGAAGGTAAACTGGGCAAAATCCCTGGTGGCCGTGCGCGCCTCTTCTCTCCTTTCTCTCCACCACTTCACAGACCCTCGGCTCGCACACGATCTGGTGGGTTGAGTTCAGCCAGTGCACCCTTTTTCGGTCTCTCTCGCAAGCAGACACTGGCTGATGTGACCTCGAGACCTTCTTCGTTATTCTGGATGTCTGTATGACCAGGCTGGTCCCATTTTTGGTTCAAGTGCTCGATGAATGGATGGATGGCTGACTGGAGACGGAGTACCTAATTGTCCATTGATGGCCCTTTTCTTGCCTTGCCTGTCTAGCTAGCATACCTAATCCTTGGCTTCCCTATCCCTTTCCTTCCATATTTTCTCGACGTTGTTCTCTCTCCTCTCTCTCGCTTCTCTCCCTTACCTTTGGTCTTCCCATTCGTTCTTTGGTGCCCTACTTCTCTTCCTCTTTTCACTTCCTTCTTCCTTGCTTCCTTCCTTGGGTGCATTCTGTCAAGCTTCACCTTCATTTTGTGTTTTGATTTTGCCTATTCACAAAGTTATTCAGTGCAGCTTGTTACGTTATCGTTGCTCTTTAGGGCTGCTTTCTGCTTCCCTACAGACTTCAGTTCGTCCTTGGAGGAAAATCAATAGAGTCAATTGTTCTTGAGTCTGTAGCTCGGGTTTACTCGTTTGGTCCTTGTTGCTTCACTTGGATTCAATCTTCCCAGCACACTCCACGTAATACCGTTTTTTCCGGTGAAAAAAAAAAGAATTTGGTGAGATACTTTGGGTAGAGTTGATTAAATTTCATCTTGTGAGTTATCCCGAGTGACAATGCCCCTTTTTACATGCCCAAGCCGTATCCCGAACCTTCAACTTTTACCGGGGAGGTCCATCGACACTGATTAGCAATGTGCTAATAGCTCCCGACATATCTAGATAATCCATAATTCATTTACCATAATTTCAACGCGCCTTGGACTTCTATAGTAGACCATATATTTCGCCACCAATCTTATCTTCACAAGATCAAGTGTTCGAGTCCGGTTGTCAACAGCCCACCCCCTAAAATCCCAACGCGTCCGGAGATAATCCACCGGACCGTCCTTGAAATCAGTCAAAACGGCCGTCTTGCCAGCATCCCAATCGGACAGATTTGTCCACTCGCATTATATCATGCACAATGAGAATGGGAATCCCGTAGGCTCAAATGGAGCCAACGGACGAATTCCTCACCCTCTCTCGAAATCTTCGACAGCCGATCGTTCGAACGGAGATCAGGTTCAGATGCCCGCCGGCTTCAGTGCTGATGCGGGAAACCACAGCAGACGCCGTATTAACATGCCGTCAATCGACACGGCGGCGATGCACCAGGATAATGGAATGGCTTCCCCGGGAACTGGATACGACATGTTCACTCCTCTGCTTCCTTCTCAACTTCTACTTGGATCCCCTTTCCAGCCATCCCCGCAATTTCAAATGCACGGTGGCTTCACTCAACCCAACCCCGGCCCCCTTTCCCCAACCTTCGGAATGACGCCTGGTGGACTGAGCTCACCTACGGGGTTTAATCAACAATTCGCCTCCTATTACCAGCAGAGCGTGCAGACACCTACTTCTCCCATGGCAGCCTCCCCCGGTATGGTAGCTGGTACTTCCCGAACGGTTTATCTGGGAAACATCCCACCGGAGACCTCCGCCGAAGAAATTCTCGGTCACGTGAGGTCTGGACAGATTGAGTCAGTCCGCCTTTTGCCCGACAAGAACTGTGCTTTCATTTCCTTCTTGGATCCTGCCTCTGCTGCCCACTTCCATTCAGATGCTATTCTGAAGAAGTTATCTATCAAGGGCCAGGATGTCAAGGTTGGCTGGGGAAAGCCTTCACAAGTTCCAACCTCGGTTGCCCTTGCTGTTCAGCAGTCCGGTGCTTCCCGTAACGTATACCTTGGTAACTTGGCCGAGGATGTTACCGAGGAAGAACTTCGTGAAGATCTCGGAAAGTTTGGTCCTATTGATACTATCAAACTCGTTCGGGAAAAAGCTATTGGCTTTGTCCATTTCCTCTCCATCGGGAATGCGATCAAAGCTGTAAACCAGCTTCCCCAAGAGCTGAAATGGCAGACACCACGTAGAGTGTACTACGGAAAAGATCGTTGTGCATACGTGTCAAAGACACAGCAGCAAAATGCCGCGCAATATCTCGGAATTGCTCCGGGCTTTTCGAACATCCTCAATGGCGCTGATAGAGAGATGATTTCCTCTGCTCTTGCTCAACAGTCTGTTGCAGCTGCTGCAGTTGCTACATCAGCTGGGGGGCCCAACAATCTTGGAAACAGGACTGTATACCTTGGTAATATTCACCCGGAGACTACCATCGAGGAGATTTGTAATGTTGTTCGTGGGGGGCTTTTACACCACATTCGGTACATTCCTGACAAGCATATTTGCTTCGTAACATTTATCGATCCTACTGCTGCCGCTAGCTTTTACGCCTTGTCGAATCTGCAGGGGTTAATGATTCATAATCGCCGTCTCAAGATTGGCTGGGGTAAACATTCAGGTGCTCTTCCACCTGCAATTGCTCTTGCTGTTTCCGGGGGTGCAAGCAGAAATGTCTATGTTGGGAATCTTGACGAGTCGTGGAGCGAAGAGAGGCTCCGTCAAGATTTTCAGGAGTATGGTGACATTGAGCTTGTCAACGCACTTCGGGAGAAGAGCTGCGCATTTGTCAACTTCACCAATATCGCAAATGCAATTAAAGCGATTGAAGCAATGAGAAGCCGTGACGAGTACAAGCGATTCAAAATCAACTTTGGGAAGGATCGATGCGGAAACCCTCCAAGGCAAAGCACTGGTAACCAAGCAGGCACACCTACATCTGCAACCCACCCCCCAATGCCCAGCTCCAGCCCAGTCAATGGTGGTCTTCAGCCTGGATCACAGTCGGGGTCTGGTGGAAGCCCTGCCCAGCTCAGCCCGTCCGGTATGCCGAGCTCAAACAGCCCCAACATGCTCGGAACACCGACAACCCCGAATAGCATGCAGCAGCTCATGAACAACGTCGCTGCAAACCCTCTTCAGGCGTACTTGGTTCAGCAGCAGCAACAGCAGAACGATGCCATGTATGCATCGTCGCTGCAACAACAGATCGCCGCTGCTCAGGCCGCCGCGGCGTATGGTCAGCAAAACCAGATGGATCCTTCTGGACAAGTGCCTACACAAGCCGTCGACAACATGGGCCAGAATGGTCAAAACATCAATGGACTCGGGCTCGCGGGCCTTGGAATGCAGAACCAGAATCTACGGATTGGCGGGCAGCACAACCGTGCCTTGAGTATGCCTGTCTTGAGTCCTCAACAGGGACAAAACGGACTTGGAATGAATGGATATAATAATGGGATGAACAACGGTATGGGTGGTTGGGCTGAACAGGATGAGGGCATGCATTAGATGACTTTTTATTCTCGGTCAAAATAGGGTGGTGGGAGGGATGTAATTGATGAGCCAGGGTTTATTTACTTTGACATAGGGGAGTAAGATTTTGGGACGTAGAAAGGACTTTGGATTATTGAACAAACAAGAGATGAGAGAAGACCCTATAGCATTTTTAATGGGCATTTCGGTATGATAGTTTCATTTTCATTTTTGCTTCTGCCCGGCCTCTTAATTTGTCTGTTTGGTTTTGATACCTCATGTTTCAAATCATTCACAACCATTACTACCACCATTTAGTGTGATGATTGAACTGTAACTTTGCTTCATTCTTATTTCTTCTTATTTTTTTCTCCTTCATTATTTCTTTGTATTTCAAGTTTTCTTTTTGACATTTGGATTTATAAAGCGTTCTTACCAAACGTTGATCTTACACTATATCTTTTTTTTTCTCATTTTTTCTTTCTTTTTAACCTTATTCTTCTTTCATTCTTTACTACTTCGTTTTCGATTCACTAGGGATGGAAGATCAAAAATACCTTTTTTTGGCAGACTAGTTTTTTGTGTTCATGTCTATATTTGTGCATTTCCGTGGGGAGCTTTAATTTGCTGCCAGCATTTTTTTTCTGGGTCGGTTCATGAATAATTTAGTGGATTGATTCGTATATCTTATCCTGAGTTTTAATTTTTTTTTCCACCTCGTTCGAATAGGAACTGAACCAGTTACCTACGTGGCATTCAAGTGCAAGTTGGCTCTCTATTCGATAAGATTTTCCATCCCCGAGTGATAGCGTATGATTGCCCGGCGGATAAACCGACCAAGCGAGCCAGCCAGGCCGGGGTGTCCCAACCAACAACAAATCCACCAACGTTACCTGATAAGTGATAAGGTCCGTGGGGCGCCGGATAGATAACCATGTAGTCCGTTCCTTTGCATTGATTGTGGCTTCCCTTTCCACCATCACGGGACAGCAGACAAGTGCTAAGCCAAAGATCTCCATCCCATCCCATCCCATCCCATCCTTCGGTGTGCATATTCCTTGGCGCTCAGCTGACCCACGATTACCTACCCACTCAATTTTCGTTTCATTATGGTAAAAGCGCCGTCGACGCCGCGGGTGTTCGGATCCTTTCAAGAAATAAGAGGGAAAAAAAGAAAAAAGAAAAAGAAAAGACCGGCCCACACCCGGTACCAGGAAACTGGGCTGTTTTACTACGGTCAGGGGTTTGTGGTTGGGCAACGTTGGATCATGCGGTAGCACTCGGTCTTTATTTTTTATTTTTTTACTCGGTATGGGAGTTGTGAAAGGACTGATAGATGGATACCGTTGAATTAGGGCGAGCTTTAGAGTTTGGTTGATAGTAAGTTCCGTATCCCCCGGCTTGACTCAGAGTAGGGTTAGGGTTTCTTTGTGGTGTCCTGGGAATCCTTCCTGAGATTCTTCCATCCCTTTATATCTACTCGGTATTATTCTCTTTCAGTAAGTAGAGCAAATGCAGGTTTCTGTACGCCTGAAGGCCCCGAGTTATTACATGTAGCTGGAAAAGACATGTGAGGGCGGAAGGGGGGGGGGGGGGGCGAGTAATACGGATGACACGGCACAGCTCGATCATTTGAAAAGCAGAGGCTGATCTTACTCAGGAGGAGAGAAAGCACAGACATGAGCTGCATTATATTAGGTACTATAAAAAACAATTGATTGGGTACCGATATTCACTTCCGATATTTCCATTCGGAGAAAAGAACTTGTAGCATTGTACTCACCCACAATAGGGAAAATAAGCTCCCAAAGCTGAAAGTGTAGTACCTATCCTAGCTCCCCCAGGTCCGTTATGTGCCGCTGTCATACCGTACATGTATGTTACACCGGCCATGAATCTACATGTAACTATATCGGTGGCGAAATACCTTCTCGGTATGGCTATCTGGTGGCGGCTGTGATTTCATAGTTGGAATATTGTCCGTTGGCTTCTTGCCGTCATGGAAGTTTGCCTGGTATCCCCATTATACGACGCGCTCATAGCCGTGTTGGGTTCTAGCTCTGTTGACTTATCAGTTAGCCAAGTATGCTTCTTTGTGGGGGGCGGCAGTATCTCATAGAGTGCTCTATCTATCTCACCAATACCTCTGTTAGATCAAGCTTCGATTGAAAATCCTTATGGTTTATGGGAAGAGTGCATGCCTGAGACACGGCTATGCAGCCAGCAGCGGAAGACTCTGGGTGGAACCAGAGTGTCAAAGAGTATGTGGTAACCTGACGGCGTTCGAGGAGCTTCTGCAGTAGATCAGTCTATGTATTAATGTGAATCTTAGATAGATTTGGGGGGGAGTGTAGTGAAACGGCTATTTTGTAGGGATGCCTCCTTAATTTATGCATGAATATAAAGAATTAATCGTGCATCGATGGAGTAAACGAAAGTTGGTAGGAAATAACTAAGTGATTAGACCCATCCACGTACCCAGTATTCAGGCCACGAGCGGCCTAAGTTCTGCCCCGCCGTGCCAATGGGGCTTTTTAGTTGTAGACAGGGTTTCTTGCCAGAAGGTTGGTTACCCAGATGAAATTTTGGATGGTTTAGATTGACCTGATCTGTCCATAAAGTAACTTAAACATAGTCGAAGAATTTATTATACTAAGAAAAGAATCATTGTCTTTATGCCTCTTTGATGCCCCTTTGACCATCTGATATATGATGTCAGCATCAGAGGCCGGGTCTCCCTTTGATTAACCGCGAAGTCTGCTTCGTGTTCCCACTGCACTATGGCTGTAATACGATACCGCGTTAAACTCGTCTTAAACCGTTGAACTTCCCCCATTTACATGTAGTGATTTGTCTTGAATCGTGGCTGTTGCAGACCGTATAGAATGTAACTTCATTAACAGGTGTTCTCTCCTCGAGCTCACATCATGACATAAAGCCCACCCTAGCCAGCTGCAGGCCTCTTCACTACCGCCCCGCCCACCGGCGAATCGGCGCCCAATTCGATCATGAAGTGGTAGCCATCTGATAGGAGCAATACGCGCGTCGGATTAATGGCGAACCTGGCCGGGTATATCACTGGGAGCGATGAAATTAACCTTAACGACGGTTGGCTATCTATTCTGACTCGGGACCATGATACGGACTCGATTGTTGAAACTCTCTTTCGTTATTACTGTATAGACTTATTTCTGACTGTGCATAGAAATCCTACACTGTGGTGCCTGATAACCCGGGCTTCGCTAGGTGGGCCAGAATTTAAGGTTGCCGATCTCCCGCCTCGCTTATGCAGGAGGCAGCCGCAGCAGAGCCGCAACACCGCAACCACAATGTCGGAAACTCGCTGTAGCGATGCACCGGGTACACAGACAATTGGGTAGTTTATAGTACCCAAGAATTGTCGCGCACCTAAGCTAGGTGTAGAGGATATCGCACCTCGCGCAAGGTGTATCGGCCTCGTGGGCAGTGACTCCCACTAGCTATCCCATCAACCGTAGCAACCGAGTTAAGGACCCGATTGGGTCCCACTTGAAATAAAGTGACCTTTCTTAAATTCACAGCAACACCAGCTTCGTGAGTACTATATTAGGAGCTCTTATTGGGATCGGTTGATAAACTTTCCCGCTTCTTTGTTATTAGTGAACAGGGCTGGATTATATCGTTTTTGTGTTTTTATCTAGTTGCAAAGTACCCAATTGGGACCTCAGGCTTCTACGGTTCATGGGATAATATGTGTTGTGGGAGTTTCTTTCGATTTCTTTCTTTTGGCTATTTACGGAATCAATATCTTCACAGATTTGAGATGATAAAATTTTAAAGCAGACCCAAAGCAGAATCTTATTCAGTAAAGTTCGGGGTATATAAGGCTTTATTATTGATCGAAATTAAAGCTCCCGAGTGATTGTCTATGAAGTGAACTAAGGAAACTACAGATCCACCCCCAAAGACCGAACACAACCCCCCAACCCCCCATTCTAAACCCCAAATTCACAAACTGAAATAGGATGACCGATAATAATGAGATGCAGTTGTATCGAAATCGCCACAATAGCCGCACACGGATCGTTGTACCTAACACCACCATCAGCACCATGCATGATCAAGATCTCAAACACAACATCATATATACACCCTTAGATCAGCCTCTGCTGAAAGGCTCTCTCGGCTTCGATAAGCCTCTCCAATCTGATGCCAAACTGTTCATAGTCGTAATCTATCCCGACCAGGCGCAATTGAGACCTTTCCTTATCTTGCAGGATCGCATATAGCTCCGACGAAGGCTTCGCCCCCCGAGGGCATTGTTGTCGATGTCAAAACCCAACTCGACAAGATGGGAGTTCATCTTCTCAATGAGGTATCGGATTTTCGACCGGTCGTCCTTGAGGCGGGTGACATAGGCGGCGAGAGTAAAGATTATTTCCTTTAACTCGTTGTGGAGGAGGATAGATTTTGGAGAGATTTGAGAAGTCATGGCTGGATCAGACGGTTGGATATGATGAAGTGTTTGATGATGGAGAAAGCGCTGATGGAGGAAGCGATGATGGAGTTTGAGGAATTAGTGTCTGTGTAGGGTTTACATATCAGAGGGTATAAAAAGACTCGGCGGCGACCATTTTGTTTACCAGGTGGGTTAAATCGTAGTATATGGACTAGTTTTTATATTCACAGCTGCTAGAGTCTTATAGTCATAATTAAAAAATTGAGATAATTCATGTGGTTTTTTGACCATGATATTTGCAGCTCCGTATTCATGGTGATGAGAATTTCAAGCTTTAGGCCTTGGTAAATACATAAACTTGCGAAAAATCTTCAGGAAAAAAAAGCAGGACCAAAAATAAAAGTGCAGAGGTTATTAATTCAAATAATTATCCAGAAGTCTTGTTAGATAGTGTAATTATGTAAATCCTGCTTCACCGTCCATAAGATGGATTGAATCGGGACGTAGTTGGTATAAATAAACAACGAAATCTGGGAAATGTGTTAGTTGACCACGCAGTTTAGGCAAACTACCGTAGAGATACTCGGGTTATTTAACTTGATGAAAAAGTGTCGAGAGGTGAAATATGGAGGATGAGTTCGTATAAGAGGAAGATCGATCGATGCTAATATGTTTATCAAATGGTTATAAGTTAAGACACTTCGGCCATACACACACTTTTGTCGAGAGGCCAGATCGTTACATGTATGTAGTTACCGCTTGGTACTGGCCTATTATGAGCAATGCGCATGTACATGTAGTTAACTGATACTTCAAATGACTATATGTATAGCTGGACGTTTCCGTCGGGTACATACGATAGCTCAGCTTTGCTCATTCTGTTGCCATAAAACCTTCATGCTTATCAAGAAAGTAAGACGAGAGGAGAGAAATATCACGGGGACTTTGTTGCTTGATTTAAAAGTATAGGTCGCATAGGATCTTTTGTAATCAAGAACCATCTATCGATAGTACTCCTTTGTAATACTAGCGACGTACGTACACAGCAGGGTCTTCCATGCCACGCGTTAATATTGAATAGAATGAGAATCGTCTGTGCTCGAGATACAACGTTGAGTTTCTACTCATATGCGCATGTAGTCACTAGACTGTTCTCGTTCTACAGGTTCTTAGACTCACAGAATACAAGCATGGGCATAAGGACTCCACCGACTATAAATGCCAAATTCCAAACAAATCCCGATACTGCCATAGTATTTGCGTTTCGTTGTGTAATGTTTCTCAAGCATCTGAACCCCAATCTACTGATTGCGCAGAGCTTTATCTAATATTTCATGGCTCGTTTGAGTGCATGTTTGAAAATTTGTGAGCAATAAATAACATTGTCATTTCAAATTTCTACAGTTGATACCATCTTGTCAGTTACATGCACCACTTCAACTCCAAAGTTTGCATCATACTCATAGTACTCACATACATGAAGTTCAGCCTTTGAACCCAAATTATACGTCCTGACCAGTTGATCCTCTATCCAACAACGAGACCCCGGGTCATCACCATCACTGTGACAAAACAGAAAGCGATGTCAGACAGCGGGGAGGCTGTTACTATTATTGGTTCTGGCACTCTCCTGCCTCTCAATCTGCCAAGCCCTGGACTTTTTCACTTCGACAATTTCGAAGAGATTATGGAAGATTCTCGGAAACGCAACGAAAGAACCGATATCCTCAATGAACACGTCCATCCACCAACCAACCTTCGACTTGATAGAAGTGAACAGCGCGAAGCAGCTGTCTCTCCAAGGGTAGAGCAGTACCACAACAACCTCCAAGGTCATGATAAAATAACCCCCTGCACTATAGATGCCCCTAAAACGGCTCATTCCTTATCCAAACGTTCTCGAGGCCAGTCGAGTACTCCGAAAAAGGTTACATTAATCAAAAGCCCGAACAACGGCGAGAAGGTAGTGGCTGTTGGTTCAGAGCCACTCATGTACGAGAACGTATTGCTGGGTAAACAACTTCCGATTCTTCCCAATGCCCCCGACACCCAAATTCAACACAGAGAATCCATATGGGAGAGGATAAAGCAGTTTGTAAGGAAAGTGACCGGTATTGGAGATTTAGGAGCACGGATACTGACCTAGCGTACTCTGACCCAACCGTAAGTTGAAGTCTTCCAGGTGAAGATCCTATGCGTTCTTCAGCAGCTAATAGCTGATATATTTGTTTTTCTAGAGAGGGTGAATCGCTGCCCTGTCGGGTGTGTCTGCGGTACAGATCGTGACCCAGGCTATGAAATTGTCCCTTTATTCTGAGGTTAAACAAACCATCCAAAGAATTGATATGCGAGTGATACCTTGTGTTCTTAACAATAAAGAGTGGTCTCTACCTAAACCTTTGAAACATTTAAAGCGCTGAATATTGAAGTAACCAATTATCGCTTGGTATAGAAAACACGCGTAAGGCTATAATCAACTTAAGAGCCGTGCTGGTGATATTAGGAAGACCTGGCCCTGGCCCTGGCTCACGTCATGTCTTTTCGGGGTCGGGTGACCTCAATGTCATTGTTTCCCTTCAAATCCTCTGGTAGGTTTTTGTTAGTTATTTAATATTATAATTTGCCCAAAGTCAACTACCGTCACAAGCCAGCACGTGTGACAGTTATTACGTGATTTTGAATTCCATGCACACCCTGTCGGTACGTAGCGAAGATCCGTGCTTTACAACCTGTGGTTCGAATATAAGAATACAGTTAGAAACATGTTTATCCCAATGTCTGATTATTTTGATCTCACTGCATGTGATGGACCACTGATCCAGATAGAAGCCATACTGCCCAATCAACCAAGCTAAAGGGGGCGATTAGCCACGCCATCGGTGACTATTTTTCGCAAGCACCATATATATGAAAACCGAGTGCTTACGTAATTACTAGACGAGATTGATTCTCTGTCAGCAATCGAGTCACGAGTAGAAAGATCAAGGTACACGACGGTGGTATTTAGTAAGTAGATCTATGAGGATGAGGATAGGCCTAGTTTTTAAGGAAGAAGAATCTTAAATCCCGGGTGAGATGGTCCCGGAGGCTAGGGTTCGCTTATTGTTACAGGCGCGCGACGTGTATTAAGGTTGATGTTATACTGTAATAGGGGCCTTCAGGGCTTTATTCTGGTCCAATCCAGTTTACCCAGCCTATCGTATGAGTAACAAGACTGAGGCTTAGATGTGGGGTCCTAAACTACATACCTGCTGATCGGGAACACAAACATTTGCTGATTATCATGCATAGTGACAGCTCATCTACGAGTGATGTGTTATGAGTAAATTGAAACGTTGTCATAGTTGGTATATTCTATCTATGTGTGTATTAGAATGACTACTGCCGTGGCTGTCACTGGCTGATTCGATTGCTCTATCATAAGAGAGATTGGCTCGACCATTTGACACCATATGATACGATGTGATATATCGATTGTCTCTGCAGGACTTCCTGTACTATAGCATCCGCGAAACTCGTACTCATTTATATAAGGGGAAAACAAAATATATTTCAGTCTTTGCTATTCATGGGATTCGAAAATCCCTCATTTTCTAGTCTCGAATCTTCATCAACTATAGGTTGTCATCAGATCACTAGAGGTTCCCAGGACGGGTAAAAGAAAAACACGGACCCGGATACACCAGGAACCGCGCCAGAAACTCGTATTGATTATTTTCTTGGCAAACGCAAGCATCAATCCTTGAGAATTACCATGCATCATTCTTATCCCCGATGTACATACATAGGAGGCTGAGCCGACTGTACTGGTAAATAAGGCATCCGGGACCATGTGAGTTTGAGTTGGGGTACTCGCGACTGGAAGGGGGAATTCACAAGGCTGGATTATGGAGCTACGATAGAGAAGATAGTTTAATAGCCTTATAGTCCAAAGATGCATGGTGCATTTATGAGTGATAAGTCATATATCGACCCGCCGCTCATTTTCTTGGCAAGATTTCTGACCCTGCCGGAGGATTTTGAAATTTGGGCACACGCACATGATGGTTAACTTGTTCACCAACTTTATACAGGTGTATGGTACTGGCAAAAAAGAAGAGGAGAAAAGAAGAAGAAAAAAACACTGAATAGTAGGTATGTGGATGTAAACCAGAGTACATATCTTGATCTTTAATAGTTCCTACATGGATTTAGCATTATGAAATCATAAAATCTCACTCGTATGTGACAACACCCCAACCAACATCCTTTGCAGGCCACCGCGCATAACGGAAAAAAAAAATAAAAAAATTGAGCCCATTCGCTCAGGGATACAAAATTATCGTTTCTAATAATTTCTTCCTCTTAACCCTTCCCCCTCTATCCCCAACAGCCGCGACAGACCTCGAATAAGAGCAATAATGCAGGAACCCGACCACCCTAAAATAAATACCGAAAACAAGACGAAATCCAGCTTAACAGCTAGAACGTATCGCGCCAAGGTCAAAAAAAAAAAAAGCAAACCAACTCCGTATGGAAAAACGATAAAATGTAGGTGTAACAGAATATTCAGTGGTAATGATGACGTGATCGGTTCTGAGCAATCTTTTTGGATATACTCTAGGAACTAGCGGCGGCTGGTCCCACAATTCGGTTTCGGCTTTTCAATTCGGAGCACCCATAAAAGCAGATCTTCAAGTGGTATAAGAACTAAAAATACGCGGTTACACAGTAACGCAACCGCTCCAACTAATCCGCCAGCGATAGCATCGAGCCAGTACTGAATTTTGAAATGCCAGTAAGTATTTCGTATGGATGTCTTATAGGGTGGGATAAACATACGTGGTTAGCCGTTGCAATGATGGTAACTAGGATCATGGTCGGGTATGCAATTCCCAACGCGCAGTACCAAATCTTCCACCATTTTCCAACTATCTGCACTGATTTTCCCTTCCTTCCACCATAGGAGAGACCGACGCATCCGAGGACACCGGAATGATAGATGAGTGTACATCCGATCATAAATGACCAGCCAAAATGCATACTTGGCATTGCTGCAAGATGGTTCACAAATTTACCGCTCATCCATACACTTTGGGCGTCGTCACGACGGACAGTGTCAATGAAACCGTACTCCTTGGGAAGCAGTCGGGGAGGCATGCAGGGAAATAGAGCGAATACTGTGAAAGCGAGGAAGTTGCAGAGTGTCACTGTGCGGCGGACAGTGGCGAAGATGGAGTGGGTGGGGGCAGAGTAGTAGTACCATGCGATAAAGCTACAAAATAATTGTTTAGTACATATCTATTACAAAGAAAACTCATGGGTAATCTTACAATACAGAGCCTGGAATGTGAATCAACGCATAGGCCTTGTTTAGAAATGTCAAAAGCCCCTCGTGTCCATTCATGAACCATTTCTGTACAGTAATTTCCTGAATCGGTAATATAAATCTCAAAGGTGTGAACTGTTCGGCCGCTAATACACTCAGTCCGTTCGCCTGGGCTGTATCCCAAATATCGTCTGAAAACATCTCCTGTGAGAGAATATGCGACACTCGGTAGATGGCATACGTGAGAATCCAATAGAACATTTCCATGAGGAAAGGAAACTTGTATAACACTCTAGAGTGCCAATTTTCGGCAAATCGTGATGAGTTCGGCGTTAAAATAATTACCCCACAACAATTACGCTGCTTTGGTAGGTTCTTAGACGTCGAGAAGCCAGTTGATTCGTCTTCATCATCTGATGACCAAGGCCCTTCACGGGACGGAGAGCTATCGCCGGATGAAGATGATCGAGAGGACGTAGGTGAGAATTCATAACTTTGAGCGTCAAGGAGGGATTTGTATGGAGCTTTGCTACTGAAGACGCTATAATATTTCCGTCGAGTGTAAAAACAGGCAAAGAAGAGGATACTAGTCACAATCTAGTTTGAATGAGAGGTACGATTAGTTTATAATTATGTACTCTCTAGAAGCAATTGGATTGTACTTACCACTGGTTCAGCCCAACCAGGAAGTTTCCAGGCGGGCTCACTATTATATTCTGGGGGGGCCGATGCCAAAGGCGTTACTACTGACACCACAGTAGAGGCAACATAGGTAGTTGGTGTAGCCATGGTCTACACTCGATGGACGACGTTGCGCCGACACGTGAGCAGCCACTAGTATAGTTGAATGTCTTTTATTACGAAACCCCGAGTACTGGAGTAAATAAAGAAAGATACGGAATAATTTGTAACGACTGTTGAGGGTTAGAGGCGGGAAGAAGGGGGGGGGGGAGGTAAGGGGAAGAAGGGATGGGTAGAATAGGAATGGGAGGAGGAGGAGGAGGAGGAGGAGGAGGAGGAAAGAAGAGGAAGAAGAGCAGCAGGAGGGGAAGAATAACAGGACGTGAAGGATATGTATTACTACATGTATGTACGGTATGTATGTAGAGTATATGAAATGATGCAAGCAGTCTGTGTATCTTTCCCTTGTTCAGAAGGGAAGTACGGTACAGGAAAGGCACAGGTGCAGCATAAATAAGGATTGAGACTTCCAAGCTCAATACAGACAATAGCGCTGTTTCAATACACGTTCCCTGCCAGTGTGAATTTCTCCGCCGCCACTGCGTCTTCTAGCACCGTGTTAACGTGTTCCGATCTCCACTCCCGCAATCATCTAAGGAATGTATGAGCATTCTACTAAACCTTGCATCCAAACTAGCCAAGACAATACTAAGGAAAACATTTTTGTTCCACCCTAGATCTTAATAACAATCTTTATCTCAAGATGGTAATAGTCGCGTGCCGCGTGTCCTGATTTTTCGCAGGTGATAATTCAGGAATGCAGGACATGGCCCTTTAGGGTTTGCTACACTACTCCTAGGCTAGCGTGTAGCTTTAGTCTGTTCATTGGCCCAACGTCGAGGAACGGGCGCCGGGATACCAAGCATCCGATATAAACCTGCAACTACCAACCGCAGAAGAGCTCGCCCAAGACTCAAAGAGCGCACAAAATCAGACTTTAATCAACTTTGCCTGGCCAGGCACACACAAAATAAGGTGTGTTATCTAACAGGCCGGACAAACGTTCCGCAGCTGTATGGTATTCTGCCAGGGAAACCTTTCGGTAAAATAGCAGAAAACTACATATTGGGTAATTGCAGGTACCAATTATTATGGACCAACCGGGGCATGGCCAAGGCTGAGTGTAAAGATAAAGATCTTGGCATGCGAAGGGAAGGAGGGGTGTGTTTTGGCCTGGGCTTTCTTCTCTAAGAGCCGCTTACAAGGCTTTACTCGGCGTGTGCCTCATGCCTTGTGTAGTCTACTCTACATGATTCGAAAACTATACTCTGGACTGGATATCAGACATGCAAAGTCGTCTAAAGCTCCAATCAGCTCAACTCCAAGGTCTGTCATTGTAACCAATCTACAGAAAACCAATCACTAAACCAGAAAGTCGAAACAGATCCAAGACAAATCTCTTGGCGTATGGACATGCACCATATGTGAAAATTTATAGGCATCGGCGTTGCGGACTCCGAGTCCCGGGATTTGATGCCCCGAAGCCCGTCTTCGTTCGGAGCTCCGACGCCGACGTTATGGTCATTGTAGACTGAAAGTTGAAATGAGATTGCACTGGGATGCAAATACTCTAGATCTACGCAACGCGTGTCGACATAGATATTAGCCAGTTACTTAATCAGAGTGTACCCATGTTAAGTGCCTTTATGCACGAGATTAGAGGTAATCCGATACGGGGGCTTCTCGTAACATTCTCTGTGTGTGTGATAGAGTACATGTATTGAAGCCATGGGGTCGTCAACTGCGTCGTTTAGAAACGCTGGCTATTATATTCGGCCCTGATCCATAGAACTCCCTTTCTCGATTTTGACCTAACTGGGAAAATAAGAGTCCCATTATTACGAACGCGTGTACCCAGGGGTGCCGGAAAGTGATGCAACGGTCAAATAGCCCATACTTCTCAACAACCAAACTAGCTAACAGAATGTGGAGCAAATCTATGGTAATTTAGAAGCTGGAGACCATAGTTATGGTGAGAGTTGATGTGGTTGACTGTTGCTTCTCCTTTTATTACTGTCTCTTGTCACAAGTTGACCTTCCCCAGGCTAAAAACCCCAAACCAATGACCTGAAAAGTTGCAAACTCTGTTCTAGAGACTCATTTATCATGGATATGACTAAAATATCTATCCTGCCCAAGCATTGTGTTGTGTTAAAAGCTGAAGTTCTGAGTACATTTCGGCGTTGCTAGGTCAAGCGTTGCATCACTTTCCGGCACCCCCGGGTACATCGACACTTACGTAAGTGACAGCTAATAATTGTGGGCATTACATACACCCTTGTATAGTACTAGTACGTACTCTAATCGGAAGGAAGTGCGGTTCTTCTGGTGCACAATCTGATATGGCCTCAAACGTGGCTTGCTTGAATCTGATACTACTTTACACATGTACCTACAACATACTCTACGATGCCCTGGATCTCCTTAAGCCTTTGTGCCTCGTTAGAATATAGTAGCTGGAACTCTACATACTTTACACACAGCTACCTAGACCAATTTTGGGCGTCGCAGGTCACTAAATGCACATTGGCCATATCCTCTTACCAAGCTAATTATAAGCCATACCTGGACGATCTCAAGCCTCACCATAAACTTGCGGAAGCCTGGTCTTCACCTGTAGAGTGTATCATATGCAGACAGGTTATTAGCAACTGCGCCGCACAGCTGCATAGTCTCCCATATACATACTCACCGGAGGTTTTTACAGTATGCAAGAACTTGGTTATTCTAAGGGGTGCTAAAACCTCATATTGCAAAGTAGGGGCCGCTACCATCAAAAATGATAATTCTACCTACCTACCCTAACTATAGAGTCATTCACTAGGCATCTATAGATACTAGGCGTTAGCGGATTCAACCAAAAAGAGAAAAACAAAACAGCAAAACTATTTATCACTGGCTTAAACTCCCTGCTAGTTGACACGGTCCAGTGTCCGTCATCACCCACTTGTCTACTGGGGATCGACAAAGTAGACCTTGCAAGGGGATTCAGCCAAAAGAGTGTGATAAATCTCCCCGCGGTTTTGTAGGGAAGTACCGCCCAGAGCTCAGACTTAGGGTTAGTTTGCTCGGGCAAGTCGTTGCATGTAACGTGCACGTGACTACATGTAGTTATTGATATAGAGCTGGAGAATAATCGGGCCGATTTATGCTGAGGATCGAGATGTTTTAGAAGTATTTTATTAGCGATTTGATCGAATTTCACCTCGGGTGAACCGGTACTTTGTGTTGCGGGCTTCCGTCATAAGTACATGTAGTTTCTGTCTAGAAGAACTTAGAAAACACAATAATCTTTGAATATAACATATAGTGACATGCATATGAGTTAATTCAGCCACAAAATCTTTAAATAACCGAAGACAAGGGCTTTGGCTAGCGATATGGGGCAAGTGGGTAGTTTATCATTGACATCCTGGAAATACTCGCCCGACGACATCGTATCAACTGGGCCGGAAATCAGAGAAGTACCGATTTTCATATTGGATCTCAATAACTACAAGCTAGGGAGGGACAAACTCTGGTGGGTTTGATGGTAGGTAGGTACATCTTCAGATTATTAGGTAGCCTTTTGGTACGGTGCTAGCACTAAGGGGAAGCTGTTAACCACATAAATAACCGCTGATAACGTGTGGACGCATGTGCAGCGGGGCCAGCGGTTGAGGCTGAATTTTCTGCTTGGCTTTTAACATGCTTTCTCTCCTCGCCAAAGCTTGTTCGTTGAAGACCTCAAAGCTGTTGCCCGTTGTCAGCATGTCACTCCATAGCAACAACGCGTAAAGTGAACGGCCCAGGAGAATATTATCTTGCCTTAACCCGCCAGCAACACACAGATACCTCATCCACTCAACCTTTCCCGACTCCTACCCCCGTAGACTTCACCCCTCCCCCTCTACGCTGTCATGGCCGGCACTACTATCAACACAAATACTGCCAACACGAGAGGTTTACACACGCTTGTAGACGGCCTTACTGTTATGTCGCCCACATCCCCCCTTACTTCCCCGTCATTATCAGCATCATCACCATCTCCGCCCCAAGTTCAACCGCAGATATTCAACCCACCAGCAGCATCGTCAATATTCAATAATCCCGGGGCTAGCAGTCTATCAGGTGCAGGTGTGGAGGGGGCTAACACGTCTCCAACGTCTAACAGTAATGCTCCAGCGAGATTGCAGTCATTCCCATCTCGACCACTGGGCTACTCTGGGACAGCAGGAAGAACAGCCGAGAGTAATGCTGTTAATGCTTTAATTGCTGCAGGAAACCATAGCTCTGGAAGTAGTAATCCGGCTGTGAAAGAGGTGGACGACCCAACAACACCAATCAGCTCTCCCACTTTTGATAGGGCTGTGCCGAATACATTCTCGCGGTTATTTGCCACCCCAACGCCCCAAAGCTCTTACGCTACAAGTGGGAGGACTTATAGCTACCGAGGTTGACACTCACTTTACCATGAATTTTGTTTTTCGGTATTTAAGCTGTTGTGGCTAGGTTGCTAATCGAAGTGCTAGGCTCGGATTCTGTAAAGTTGGAAGATTTCCTTTACACTCGCGGATTTCTGGAGGGCGCTTGTAGCGACGTGTCCATCCTTGCATTTGGGAATACATATAACTTGCATCGCCTGATACTTGATCGATCGCCGTTTTTTTCAACCTGTTTCAACGGTGGGCCCTGGTTAGAATCAACACAGTCTGAGATATCACTGTCCCCAGAAATTTCAGATCCGAATATAACACAGCACTCCTTCGAAATGGCTTTAGCGCGGTTGTACGGGCATGTTGACCGGACGGAAGAAGACCAGCATGCTCTTCCATTACTAGCTGCGGCAAGTTATCTGGATCTCCAGGATCTTGCGGAATCATGTGTTACCTCGTTACTACGGAACTTGAGTACAAGCAACATATCACAGGTTATAAGGTTTGTAACGAACAGTTTCTACGGTCCCCTTACGGACAGACTGCTGGACAGCGCAAAGGCACTTCTATATAGAGACGGTTGGGAAATGAGTTTCGAGGATTGGGATGGAATCAGCGGAGAGGTTGCGGCAGACATTATAGGTTATGATGGTTTTTATGTTCCCAGCGAATGGTTGAGATATAGCTTCGTCAAGGAAATGGTGGACTGGAGAATTAACCACTCCTATACATACAACCGCGACGTAGGTGGGAGCAATTTCGGGACTCCGGGGATGGAATACGATGAAGCTGAGAGAGCTTCAATGGCAGAGGAGGATGAGGCGGATTTGAAGCCATTGAGAGATTTGCTGGAGAATGGAATTTACTACGTTCATATGACTTTCGAGGAACTCCAGAAGATAGGAGATGATAGGGACGTACTTGGGCGGAGGACGGTGAGTGAGAGTACAATTAAGGAAGCTCTGTGGCAGCAGATGCTTTTGAGACAAAGAGTTTTGAACGTGGGCTTAGGCAATCCTGAGTTGGGTATCACGGAGACAGAGATGGCTAGGCAATCCACACCATCAGGGAAAAAATCACCACTGGCAGAGAGACCAACAACGCCGAGAGTGGGCGAGAAGATGTCACAATCAGGTTCAGACCCATCAACTCCAACCCGCAATAAAAACGACGGATCGAACACCCTCACAACGCAGATAGGAAAATCCTCACGGCGTAAATACTATATCCCAACCGAAGACACAACGACCGTCATAGGAGACTGCCCTGAGCAATGCCTCATTGTGTCCAACCAAGGCGGGCCAGGTCCTAAGAGAGTAGCGCGTGGAGCTGATCATCTAGGCGTAGAAGGCGCTGATACCTCTGCCCCTATCGTTCAGGAGCTCCGTTACTCCGAATTCCCACCTTTCCGCTTCTCAGCCGAGTTCCGTAGTGTCAGAAGTTTAAAGGAGAAGAAGCGTGTCTACTCCAAAACTGTCTTCTATGCAGGTTCCCACTGGAATATCTATATTCAGAAGGTCCGCAGTTCCAAAAATGTTCAGCTTGGTGTCTACCTCCACCGTGCGAAGGACCGTGAAACCGCAGGAGGAAGTTCGAGTCATAATAGAGGTGCAGACGATACAAATCAGATTATCAACGTTGAGGAGCAACAACGCGTTGGAAATAGTACTCTCAGTTCCATGGCGGATGATATTGATGTCACAGTGACTACGGACGGAGACCTCACTACTAGTACATTCGCGAGCATAAATCCTAACTCTCGACCCGGAGCAAATACATCGGCACAGCGTTCATCACTTCCAGCGAATGCAGACTCCGCTAATACAGCGGTTCCGGCGTTGAGCTACTATGTGGACGCAAGACCTATGATTCAAACCTACTTCAAGATTTTCTCTCCCAGCCGGAAGGGGAAAGTATTGAGTATGTTCTCGTCGGGGCCGGATAGCTTCAATTTCAGCCAAAGTTGGGGATGGAAGAGCTCTAGTCTGATCTTGGAGGAAGGGAGCGGAGGTCCGGTTGGGGAATCTGCAGAAAAAGATAGTAGGTTGAGATTCATGGTCGTGCTTGGTAGGTCATCTCCTTCAAAGATTTACAACCTATACTAACTTCCCTCTGCTATAAAGGTAATGTCTAAGGCCGATCGCATTATGGGTAGGACATAACTGGACTTGGTAGATAATTCGTTTCATTCTTTCAACCCCATATCTTTCATCCTTTCTCTTCTCGAGAAATTGACTTTTTTTTAATACCATTAATATCCTTATTAGTTTTTCTTGCTATGGCCTTCTTTCGTTATAGTTTTGTTTTAGGGTGGCGTGGTCATATGTATCATTCTGTGTTGAATTCTTCTTCTTGGGCGGATGGGAGCCTTAATGACGAGGTACATGTAGTGTATGGTTTTTACATGGCGGTTGAAAGTTGAATTCACGAGGTAGCGGTGGAAGACCAAATCTCCGTTTGGTGATAAAGACCAAGACAAGGGCTGTAGGGAGGATTGTCGTTTATCTAGATTCGTACCGAGTAAATCTTGGAGGATCTACAGGCGAGTAATTGTATAAAATTTGGGAACCGGACATATCTAGAAATTTAGAGCCTAGGGCTGAAATTGTAGTTCCCGAGTGATCATTGGTGATCAACTTTCTATAAACAGCGATTACTATGCAGTTTCTAATTCTTGACCATTCCCAAAGTATGAGGTTTAAGAGGGATGGCGAAGCAATGTTTGTTTTAATTAAGTACATGTAACTTTAGCTTAATAGAAGAAGCACGAGTTCTCTTATACAAGCTGTGCATGTATATATTGTGGGTCGGTGACCGCTGCTTGTAGTTATCTGATTCTGATAGTTATATATATATACAAGTAGTTTCCGGCCTTCGGCCGGTACTATACATGTATGTATATCAATCAGTCCAATATACAGGCAAGCCGCTTTGCGGCTTATTTGTCTATTTGCCTGTCAGTCGGGGCTCTTAGGCCACTGCGCGGCCCTCGACCCCTCCTGGCAGACAAAGTCCATCACTATATCTAGATCTGATCTGGTCAATATGTGACTTTTCTGATATATTATCCCCATATATCAACGGATAAGTCAGACAATTTCTCCAGTTAAAACTACAGGTATATCCCTTTAACAGCTACCAAACCGCTAAAATCAAACCACTATCGATTCCCAGAACCAGTAGAAACCCTATTAACACTCTAACACCACTCAGCACAATACCCTATGTTAATATCCAACACAACATATTTCAAGTGAAACAAAAACATCTCTCAATGAACCAATCAGAAGACTATAAAAGTACATTGCATATGCAGGTTATAATTATATACTTATTAGATATATATCGATATCCGGTCTCAAGCCACTTAGTCTGTTCTTATTTAGAATTACTGATATGACCCAGTCCCTATGCAAAGATCTCCCAAGCAAGTGTAGCCCTAGCTATATTTTTACACCAAAGAAAGCTACTAATCACATACTAGTGCTTAGGCGGGCTGAGCTGTTCTTCGCGAGATTATTAAGATATCGGCTTAATTAAGTTGACCTGGAATTGGTACTCATGAAGAGGATGATGATCCGAGATCACGACTAGGGTTGCTTCGTATCTAAACGAATTACATGTAGTGTATTTTGCACAATTAGACCCTGATTACCAATGTACCTACATATGTGTTATAACATTCAATCCTCTTAACCTTGGATTGAGAATGGAAAGAAGGTCATGATATATCTGAGTAACGCTCCCGCTCTAGATCTTCTGCTGATACCGCCACCACCGCCGTCGAGATATATTTATGCAAGAAGAAGTGTAGGTGCCGCGCCGGTCGATGCTCGCCTTCTTGGCCTGTGTTATATTTTTATCGACCACTGTAATCGAATGTAAAAAGCAATTCAATAGATTGCCAAGATAGGTTGTAGGGCGTGGCTGTGGTGGCTGCCACATCCCTCCCCATCTCATGCCCCTCTTTTTGTTTGGCGGGGTATCAATAGAAAAAAAAATCCTTGGCTAGCAACCGTTCTCAAAAGGATTCCTTGACTCATAGGCAAACCCCACACGTTTTTGTTCTCCATCCTTTATAACAGCGAGCAAATTGTGAAGAAGATACCCACTAAGAAATATAACATACAATGGCTGATAACGCCCCTATTGCTGAGGGGAGCGTCCCAAACCTTCACAAGGATGAGGTAACTGGTGAGATGGTTTCGAAGTCAGAGCTGAAGAAGAGACAGAAGAAGAGAGAGGCAGATGCAAAAAAGGTTGGTTTTGGATCTTGGGAAAGCATTAAACATTCGTCGCTAACATGAATTTTTCTTGAACATAGGCTGAGAAAGCCGCTGCTGCCCCGCCGAAGCCCACAGCAGATAAGAAGAAGAAATCTGAAATTGCTGAGGAGGAGGAACTCACGCCTAATGTTTGCATTCACTATAATAAGCCTAGTATTGCTCTTCAACTGACCGGGGTGGTTGTGAGTCTTAGCAATACTTTGAGATCCGTTCTCGAGCCATCAATAAGCTCCGCGAGACCAAGAGCCCAAACCCGTATCCTCACAAGTTCGATGTCAAGAATAAGATCTCCGAAATCATCTCTACATACGGCTCTCTCCAAAAGGGTGAGACCAAGCCAGATGTTGAAGTCCGTGTCGCTGGACGTATCCACGGTATCCGTGCATCGGGGAGCATGCTCCGTTTCTATGACCTCCGCGCTGAGGGAGTCAAGATCCAGATCATGGCGCAGGCGCAGGACGCCGTTAGTGACTACCTCGCTCAGCACGAGCACCTTCGCCGTGGTGATATCATTGGGATTGTCGGATATCCTGGAAAGACGAACCCTAGCAAGAAGGAGAACCCTGGAGAGCTCTCAATCTTTGCTAAGGAGGTTGTACTATTGACCCCATGTTTGCACATGCTGCCGACCGAACACTTCGGGTTGAAGGACCAGGAGACTCGTTACCGCCAGAGATACCTTGATCTTATCATGAACAACAAATCCCGTGACATTTTCATCACCCGAAGCAAGATCGTTTCTTATATCCGCCGATTCTTCGACAACCGCGATTTCGTCGAGGTTGAGACACCTATGATGAACGCGATTGCTGGAGGAGCTACTGCTAAGCCGTTTGTTACCCACCACAACGATCTTAACATGGACTTGTTCATGCGTGTTGCTCCAGAACTTTACTTGAAGATGCTGGTTGTTGGTGGACTCGAGAGGGTCTACGAGATTGGTCGCCAGTTCAGAAACGAGGGTATCGACCTCACTCATAACCCCGAATTCACAACTTGTGAGTTCTATTGGGCATATGCCGATGTGAACGACATCATGGACATCACTGAAGAACTTGTCTCTGAAATGGTCAAGAGCATCACAGGATCATATAAGACTAAATTCACAACCGTGTCTGGAGAGATCTACGAAGTTAATTGGGAGAGGCCATGGAAGAGGATTGAGATGATTCCCGCCCTTGAGGCTGCTACAGGAACTACTTTCCCTCCTGGAGACCAGCTCCACACCAAGGAGACCAATGACTTCCTGAGGGAAGTCGCTAAGAAACACAACATTGATTGCTCACCACCCCAGACCAATGCTCGTCTCCTCGACAAAATGGTCGGCGAGTTCATTGAAGAGACCTGCATCAACCCCACCTTCATCACTGGACACCCACAGATGATGTCTCCGCTTGCCAAGTACCATCGTTCTATTCCGGGTCTCTGTGAGCGTTTCGAGGCCTTCGTATGTAAGAAGGAGATTGTGAACGCATACACCGAGTTGAACGATCCCTTTGACCAACGTCTCCGTTTCGAGGAACAGGCGAACCAGAAGGATCAGGGTGACGACGAGGCACAACTTATTGATGAGAACTTCTGCCAGAGTCTTGAGTATGGGTTGCCACCAACTGGTGGTTGGGGTATGGGTATTGATAGAATGGTTATGTTCATCACCGATAACTACTCTATCAAGGAGGTGTTGGCTTTCCGTGAGTTTTCTAAAGCTGATAGGAAATTAGGCGCAATCAATCACTGACGCTATTGACTATAGCATTCATGAAGGATGATCACTCCGAGAAGAAGACCGCCGCCGAGGTTGTTGGAATTCGTCCGAGTGCTCCGTATGTATCCCTTCCCCTGTCATACACCAGAATATGGCTAATACATGACCATAGAGTTGAAAGCACTGGAGAGCTTCAATCATAGGTATTAAATCGAAAGTCTAGAATCATGTAGATATCATTGAATGAGAATTCTTCCCCCCGTAAACAAGCATGCTTTCTTTATAACTATATTTTGATAAATTTTAGCCTTTACTGGGAGTTAAGCATGAGAATATAGGCGAAATATTTCACTGCTCTGTTTTAGCCGTTCAATGCCCAGCTACAAAGCATTTCTCGACCTCCCTGAGATACAGACACCGTGGTGCCCTACCACAACCTGTAAAGAAATTTTGTTACATAGGAGAAGACATCCTTGCCCTATTCTCATACGTCGAAAGAGAGAAAGCAGGTATCACGATATCAATGCCAAAACATTCGGGGTTAGGTGTGTTTGGATAATGGAATGGAGTGTACCCAATAATATTTAATCAATCTGACTGGAAAAATGTATTTTTGTGTCCGATAAAGGGTTGTACGAAAAAGTAAATTAGGACACTAGTATGAATGGGCCTCAGTAATGTAATTAATGAATTAAACAAAAAACAAAAAAAACAATGGGCCTCAGTAGCGGCCCCTTTAATACCGAGTGACTTCATATGACGCACCATAACACTATGGATTCATGAGTAATCACTCGACCCATCATATCCTTGGGTGAGAAACTCTAGTTACTTATCCCGGTTAGACCATGAAGCTTTACAAATTGATACTATTGTAGAACATGCATCTTCGTAGACAACTGAAGGCTTGTGACGCGAAAATAACGATGTGAGTGACCAGGCTAGGTTTTGACACAGAAGTGGCAGAAAAACAGGGACATAAGGGAACTGTGTTAATAGGGAACTTCAAAAGGGACAGATGTGCTGGGGATGGCGGAGCGTACGTACGTACTTGGTTCTTAATACTAAAAAGTAAACCCAACCGCGACAGTGAAGAGATGTGATGTGGAGGGGGTTGATTTATTTTCATGTCGTGTCCATACAACTTAAGAGTTGTAATAAGCAGAAACTTTAACCACCGCGATGGGGTTTGTCTTTGCTTTGTGGCGGTCTTCTCTGCCTAAAAATATCGATATATTCTTACAAATCGGGCGATGTATATGATGTAGGATGTAGCTTCGCACACAACCTTTTCGATTATCCATAAAATTAAATGGTACCCATTCATACCTTTAGATCTTTCATTCATAAGGGTTGGGTAATACATGGTGTGATAAATACAATATATAATGTTGATAATTGATATAGTGTGGTCCACGAGGACGCTCGAGGCGAGGTTTGGGGGTGTCCCCAAGGTGCCTCGTCCTCGTTGAACTCTGTCCTTGTCTGTCCTCGAGGACGATAAAGCGATGACCCGGTAAACCAAAAAGGTGATATTTCTCAAAATGAAGGTATACTTTATTCATGACCTCATCCGATTAGGGCATATTAAGTGTGTATTATAGCCAAGAATTATCCTTGGGAGTCCTCGAGGCGAGGTCAGATATTGTCCTCGAGGTTCCTTGTCCTGTTAGACCAATGTCCTTGCGTGTCATCGAGGACCTGTCCTCGAGGCAAGGACACAAGGACGCTCGTCCTCATGGACACTGAATTGATATTCTCTAGCTGGTACTTACATTTATTACCGCACCTGTGTGGCTACATACGCATACCTACATGTAGCACCACATATACATGTACTCATACCATGCCACTCCTGTTCCCCATGATTCTCTTCCCCTCAAGCACGATAGATAAGTACATGTAGAACTAAAGTTAAAGATACCTCAACACTGCAGTAACTTTCCACCACCTGCTTTTATGTCTGAGCCGCTTAGTCAGATCAAAACAGACAGATCTCGGCGTTTCTAGTTCAAGATGCGGCTCTTTGTCGCACCATGGGAGAACAAGCTTAGCGCGTGACGCACCTTAGTTATCGCCTTCCTCCTGTTCGTCCGTGCACAACTCCCCTAACCCAACCCCAAGTTCAAATACGACCGCACCACTCACAACAGCATACACCCCCGCAAAGAAAACCTCAACCAGAACTCGAAAGCCTTCAAACCAGTCTCAAAAAAGTTCAAGCGGTCAAATAAGAAAATGGAGGAAAGAAAAGGCCGAAAAAAGAAGGTGCTCCTCATGGTAAACTCTCACTCACCCTCAGAGCTTGTTGCCAGTTAACGACAGGTAGCTAATGGAGCTCGAAAACAGGGGAAATCCGGCTCCGGAAAGTCTTCCATGAGATCTATCGTATTCAGTAACTACGTCGCGAAGGATACCCGCAGGTTGGGCGCCACGATCGATGTTGAACACTCCCACGTCAGGTTCCTCGGGAACTTGACGTTAAACTTATGGGATTGTGGTGGGTGTGTATCCCCTTTCCCTCCTGTGCGACATGAACCCAATTTCTGAAATGTATATAGTCAGGACGCTTTCATGGAGAACTATCTGGCGCAACAACGTGATCACATTTTCAAGAATGTCGAGGTCCTCATCTACGTTTTTGACATCGAGTCGCGCGAGTTTGATCGAGATCTCATCACCTACAGCTCGTGTATTGAGGCTTTGCGCGACAACAGCAGTCATGCTCTCATCTTCTGTTTAGTCCACAAGATGGATCTGGTACAAACAGAGCTACGAGAGAAACTGTTCTTGGAGCGGAGCGCGGTGTTAAAGGAGCGCAGTAGGGGAATGTCGATTGTTTGCTATCCAACAAGTATCTGGGATGAAACTCTTTACAAGGTAAGGGTTTTGATACGTTGAACTTACTAGAGTGTTGCGTCTAACAATTCGTAGGCGTGGGCACAAATCGTCTATAACTTAATACCAAACCTCCCACAGCTCGAAAATCACCTCAGACGCTTCGCAGAGATTGCCGAAGCCGAAGAAGTTATTCTCTTCGAGCGGACTACCTTCCTCGTCATCTCTGCTGTTACGCGCTCCACGGAGCCAAATCCCTACCCCGACCGCTTTGAGAAGATCTCGAACATTGTCAAACAGTTCAAGCAGTCGTGCACCAAGATGGCGTCTAATTTCACGGCTTTTGAGCTGCGAGCTCACATGTTTAGCGCCTTTATTGACGTGCTGACACCAAATACATATATCCTCGTGGTCATGCCAGCCAATGCGGCAGAGAGTGCAACGACTTTGATGAACATTGCAGTTGCGAGGAAGCATTTTGAAAAGCTCGAGAAAGACAGTGGCGGTAGAGGAGCAGAAAAGCAGGTGGAAAATGGCGTAGGTTTGCATTAGGCTGTTACTTGTGTTGCTCTGTGGACATGAAAAGTGGATATTGGTCGAGTTTCGGCCCTGGAGAACTTTCGTTTTGTGCGTGCGTCTTTTTCTCGTTTTTACTTAGGTGCTGGTACCTCTCATTTTACTTGCTTGGAATTTTATATTGTGGCTCAATTGCATAGGGCGGGAATGGGACTGGAAACGAAAAGAAAAGATTTGAATTGTACTGGGCCTGCTAGGATTTTGGGGATTTTATTTTATGCGGGTTGCTTCGATTATATGTATGGTGTTTGTACTAATGGTTATTATGGTGGGGGAAACTATGTAGGTATATTTTTATTCCAGTTTACTCTTTAAATGGAGCCAAGCTAGATCATCGAGAGAGGGTTAGGGTTATAGTAATTTGGTCGAGTGATGGGATGTGATTATCCAGCCTGCAGGCCATTTGATGCGTTTTTGGTTTGTATTATAGAGCACTATACTTAAAGTATCAGTGAATGTTGGCTGCTTTTTTTGGTGTGGAAAATGCGGCTGCAGGTCAATTTTATCAGTTCTTGGGTCTCTCACCTAAGTTTGCTGTGGAGATTGACCCTAGAGGCCAGTGTTGATACGTTAACGAATGGTGATGGCCCATACTTGTGTTCAAATTCAGCATGAGATTTCCGAGTGTAGTTTTGGTTTTCCCCTTAGAATCCAATTCACCGCCGGTGGCCTAATACCAACCATCAATTATTGCATTCGACTTTCCATTGATGAAATGGGTACGAAACTGTGCGTTTCAGATGAGATTGTCAGAGGGTCAGATTCACTGATCTATAATAAAGTAAGAAAGTGTAACATAGCTAGGTTTTGGGGTCATCACGAGAGTATAATACCTTACATCATTCACTCAAAAGCCATCAGGTCTCGAAGGTAGCTGGTTATCGAGGCTCGACTCCCAAAGTATTTATTTCTATTAGAGAGAAGTATAGATGACGAGTTATTCTGACAGTTGGTTAGAGTTCGGTGGTGCTGTCATTATGTAACCTTGGTCGCGAAGAGTGGAGGGGACTGGGAGCTTTGACATCCTGGAAGTGAGATATTGGACTTAAGATTCTGTGACAGACCTTGCTGGAAATGATGATCATTCTTGTATCCTTAGTAGGTGAAAGGGGAATAAGAGGTTACGGTTTGTTGGAGTACCGAGTGATAATATATGAAGATACCGTTAGGTAGAAAGTACTAGCTCTAGTTCTGTAACGCGCGCAAAAAGTCCACCACAAGCTACGTAACTTGTTCACAGAGATTATTGTGAGGTTTACTAGATTGGCTGTAGCTACGTATGTAGTCAGTTACAGCATTGTTATTACTGCCATCTGATTTTGAAATGTCGATAAGTATGTACTTACATGTAGTAAGTACCCTTTGAATTCGATATGTATAATTGCCATACAAATGTGTTCGTTGGACAGAACCCATTTAATTCCTAATAAAATGTTTTTTGGTATTGGCATTTAACTGCTGTTACTGGGTCATATGGAATTAAGATGGTATCTCTATTTTGGTTGCTAAATCTATGGGGTTTGATTGACTAGAAATCAATTAATTATGCCGAGCGACTCCGAAGGTCATAACCACTGATTATGACTATGGGTTGGGCTCGATCAGAGGGTGGAGTGTGGTTATGTGGTTTACCCGCACATGCCTTTTATGACCCATTAATGCGAACCTAAGTGGGAATTCGTAAGTTTGATTCATTTATAGCCCAAGGAAAACCAAAAAAGCGGGTGTATCCAGTACTAACTTTGGCAAAATACCGTATTGTTACGGTATTGTTACAGTATTAATACAGTATAATAGTTAGGATTCCGATTTAATTCGGAAGTTTTGCACGATTCCGTATTGGTACAGTACTTATGACATCCTCTTTTTCGTACTGTATTGTGTAATATGTATTTTCTTTGATAACAATAAACACAATAAACACAATAGACATGATAGACATAACGATCATAACGCCCGACCACATAAGAATCCAGGGTATAAACGGATAAATACCGCTAAAAATAAGTAAAAATAAACAATAGTGACAAACGAAATAGATAACCAGCTCTTAATCCTCATCAACTAACCTCCCAAAAATCAAACTCTGGACAATCCACTCATCGTCTACAATTTGTACCCTCCTTCCACCCGCCCCTGCCTTCTCTCTATACATCCTCTCAGCCTTGCCCCTCTCCTTAGTCTCCACACAGACGTAGTCCCACTCCTCTGGTCCTTCCAGGAGCCTGCCCGCAGCCTCTAGATTTCCGACCTTGATCACCCGCCCTGCCCCCATTGCCCAGGTGAGAAACAGGTAACTTCGTCTCTTCTCTCCACTCCCCACTACAATCACTCCCATACCGTCCAGTAGCCTCTTCCGTCGCTCTAGAACGCTGCTGAAGGCCGCACGCCGCAAATCATATGTCTCGAGCGTGCGGCTGCAAACACAGCCAAGATAGCGGCTCTCGCCAGCGGGGAGAAGATAGTGTTCCCAGTCCAGCAGCTTGGACTTCTTGACGCAGTCATCAATCCAGCGGCTAGCAAGACATGGCAAGCCCAGTGCAAGTGCTTGGAGGAATTTTGCACGCCGGCAGTGGGTATCAGCTATGACGGCGGTGAAGCCGAGGGTCGAGAATTCAGGTCGGAGGGCCAGAGATGTGTCGGGATCGTAGAAGAGCTCGTTGAAACCGATATCGACAACCCGGCCACCAGCAGAGAGAATCTTGCTTGTGGTGGACTTCTTGATGGCTTCATTCGCGCCGAAGGAGAGGGCAAAAATCATGCCTGTGAACACACCAGAGGCGATACGGGTGAGGCCGGTCGTTAGCGGTGTAGCGAGGCGGCGGTGGCTGGGTGTTGTGGGGGGCGGAGAGAGCTCGCTGGGTGTGCGTTGCCGGGGGAGCGTAGGAGAGGTACGTGTGGAGAAGTTTTTCCACATTGTTTGGATTAGGTAGACACTAGTTATTGCTACGTCTATTGGTTCACCAACTTTACCCTTAACTGTGACGATATGATTGCCGCGACAGTCGGTGTACTTGTTGTCGCTCCCCTCGGAAATTTTGAAGCTGTCGATTACCCAGGAGGACTTCTTCATTCCTGTGACATCAACACGGATGTGGTCGCCGATACGTAGATCGAGTGAGCGGATATGATCTCGGCTTAGTAAGTCCTCGGTACCGTCGTCGAAGACGACTTTCATCTCGCGGTCATTACTCTCGAGAATTGTGGCAGGGTAATAGGCCGTTTTACCATCACGGAAGAGCGCGAAAACTCTCGAAGGTACTGTGGTGGGTGCGTCTGGAGGGGGAGGTACAGATACGTGAAAAAGTGGGTTAGTAGTGGTGAGTATATCGGCATCGTCGTCGGTGTCTGCAAGTGAGGACATGCTACGATGAACACTTATTGAGGAGCGAGTTTTTCGCGCGGGAGTCTTGGTCCTAGATTTGCTAGCGGGAGTACGAGTGGATTTATGCTTTGATGGCTCTTTAGGCGGCTTGGGGGTTTTTCCTTTCCCAAAATCGAGTCGTATTCTCTTACTTCCTTTATCCCCCATGGCAGTGCCTTCTGCGGGTTGGTCCCCTGGGTCGTGCTCCAGCCCTGCTCCCACAGCCACGATCCCCACCATATCGATATCATCTGGTTCCGGTCTACTGCTCAAAAACCCACCTGTCTCTTCCAACCCCTTAAAGCTCTTCATTCCACTCTCCTCTACTGAGCAAGGGACCATGTTATCAGCTTCTATTACAGGCCTTTTTCTTTTCCCCAAGGGTGTATTATCATCATTGGTTGGGCCAACCATAGGAGACGACTCCACCGTGGCCCCTCCGATAGGAGTCGAGATTCCACTTGGGATGGGTGTAAGACTGCTAGTCGGCGCTATAAGTCCGCTTGTCTCCCTTACGTATTCAGAGACAGGAGCCATCGGAGAGGGTACATTGAATGGAACGAGTGATTTCAATGATGTCGTTTTTCTCTCCAATACCGGCGGGGGTTGCAAATATTCCACAACTGCAGAAGTAGACGGTAAGGATGAAGATACCATTGAAATTTCTTGATCTAGAGGCGGCGCAGGACGACGTCGAAACCTCGAGGCTGCGGGTATTTGATGTAATGATTCCCAGTCATCCGGAGGGAGCTGGGTGTACTGCGTTTGTGCAGCAGCGGGTATTATCTGCGTAGGAACATCTGATGTAAATGTCGGTGCAATGTCGTTATCTTCTTTTCCGTCGTCGGTAGTGTGCAATGGGAGCTCGGGCTCAGGTTCGTCTTCGTCTTCTGCCGTTGCAGTAGGGGCTGGTGGCTTTTTCGCCGCTGGTTCAGGCTGTGTATCCTCCTCATCTCCAGTCTCTTCAGCACTAGTCTCCAGCGTAGCAACAGGCGACACAGATTTCGTAGCTCTAGGCAGAGATTTGCCCCTTGCTATAGGCCGCTTGTCTTCTTCGCTCCTAGCACGTCCTTGGAAAGATGGAGCTTTTGGTATGCTTTTAGCAAAGAGGCGCTTTACTTCCTCTTCACCTTTTCGCCGAGCTCTCTCAACACGGCGTTTATAATCATCTCCGGGGGAGAAGAAATCCTCATCGCAATCTTTTTCGTCAGAAGAAGGGATCTTTTGGGTATTTCCGGGCTGTGAAAGGATGTAGGCAAAAGGCTCAAAGACTACTGGTGAGTGCGACCGAAGGCGTCGTGGTTTCTTCTTAGCCACCCTCCGGTCTCGAGCTTCTTGGGACTCTTTCATTGAGATGTAGACCGTCTGGTCTGGCTGTGTTGGTTCATAGTATTCGTCATCTTCGGCTTCTTGGGCTGTCTTTTTAGGCCCCGGTTCGGACTCGGCCTGAGCTTCTGGTACAGGACTGCTCTGGTCTCTCTCCGCATTAACCCTCTCGAGGGTTTTTGCCATGACTCCCATAGCCTCCACCGCGCTCGGTGTTGGTGGAAGACTAGCCTCTGCATTGATTGGCCGTATTGGCGAGGACACACTTTCGAACATCTGCGCGAGCGATGCATTCATTCGTCCCTGCAGAGCTGCACCCCCGAATGTCATTGTCTGGAGCGGATTATGCCCCCCCGTCACTGGTCTCTTACTCCGCAGTTGCTGCGGCGTGACAAATCTGTGAGCTTCCGGGAAAAGTGTCGAGGGCTCTGGAGGCTGAGATTCGAGTTCGTCAACGGTCGTGAAGGTACCAGTGGTCGCAGGACGCTGAGCTGGCGGGGTGGCGGCGATCATATCGTAAGGAGCGAACGCAGGGTAGATGCCATCGTCGGCTTGCGTCTCGCCGAGGTCGACCTGACTATAGCTAAGGTCGTTGGAGTAGGCAAGGTGAAGATTTCCGGAATGATCATTGGCAGTGTGGTAGGTGGAATTGGAAGATTGTTTAGTGGAGGATTGCTTTGCGGGGGTCCTAGGAACGAGGGGGGGCGAGCGAGGGGGCGAGCAGATTATTTGTGTCTCGGCGAGTTGGGCATCCTTCTGTAGGCTGCGTTAGTAACGCTATGGACCAGGAGAGCTTAGGCCACGGGCATGCATGTCCTACGTACGCTGAGGAGACCCTGCAAGTGGTCGATATCAATTTGGTCTTGTGTTGGAGTTTCGGGCATCATTGTGGCATGAGACAATCAAATCATGTGTGGTATTGTTGAGGTTCGATGGTGATGTTGATGGTGGCCTCCGGATGAAAGAAAAGCTCAGTTTAGCTCTGTTTATTGGGAAATCGCGATTGATTTGTTGAAAGTCGCGTCGTGGGGCCTTTTCTTAGCGAATCCCGAGGGCCTGGGTCAGCCAATCAACATTCCAGGAACAGGGATAAAACGAAACCAACCGGGTTATCGGGTCTCACCTGGAAGAGACAATTGAGCTTAAGGCGTTCTGGAAGGGTTTGAGTGTAGAAGCTTAAAGATAATTGGATAATGCATGTAGCTGAGGGATGCTAGTGTTTCTTGAAGATTATGAATACATGTAGGTAGAAGGGCTGACCCAGAGTTACCACCGCGAAGAGTGACGAAGACCTAAATATATGTAGATATAACATTTTTTAACCTGGTACTGTGTCAGACTGGGAAATGGATCATTGACACAAAATTTGGTTGTGATGACTACCGAGCCTTTTGGCCCCCGAAGTTTATTTGTTGGTCTTTAGGTCTGAAATAGTACTAGGTCAAATACGTCATGTAGAATATAATACATCCGATGTAGTAAACACCCGGCCGGCGCTTCCCCTTCTCCGCCACATATATAAATTTAATTACCTTAGGTTTTGGAGTAGAAAAAACTATATCCCCAGCCCCGAAGAATGGCATATGAATGCTCTCAGTGGAACTAGCGGCTAGCCCCTACACAAACTTTCAATATTGCTTCGTAACTTTTCCTTTTCCACTATTTTACTTCTAGTGAAACCTCCTTATCTCGTATACATGTATATACATGACGTATCATGTGTACGCCTTCTTTTTGAAGGAATATTAACTTGAAAAATCGTACGAGAAGGCTAATATTGGCTCTTTTAAATATACCTTAGGCATATCGGACTACTCCTTTTCTATCATCAGAGGCTTCATGTACTCCCTTTTTTCTCTCTCCTCCTCTCAAGGCAAGTGGCATTGAAGCAGCTACAAAAATTTGGAAACAGTTTGCGAGATGGAGATGCGAGAGAAACGGACAAGACGAGAGCGCAGAAGAGGAGAGAAGGGAACTAGGGTACGGGTGGGGGACCCTGAAAGATGCGGGAAACGAGGAATAGAACAAAAAGAGGGCTTTAGTGTTTTCATTTCCTATGTCAGAAATACGTGAGAAGAGGCGGAAGAGAAGGGGCAGTTCAGGGGAATCGCCATAACTGTAAAGTTGCATGCAATTAATGAATTAAACAAAAAAAAAAAAATCTCCTCCTCTCAACAGAGTCCGCAATCGATCTGTCCTTCTCCACAACCTCTGCATCTGCATGGACTCTAGATATTTTCCCCCATAGCTAGCTTCAACTTCATTCTGAGAGGTTAAGCTACAGATTTAGAATCTTTTTATTTTCTTGTCGCTAGCAGATATCATAGCTATGTATAATATATATATAGGGATTGCCTCTAAGTATATATATTGAATTTCCCAATTTGAGGTAAAGACACACCCAATCATTGAATACTGGGCCGGGATAGTGGTTAGTATTGTTCCTTGGTTTTGAAGGATTATTATAACGGGAGCCTGCCAGCTCTATTTAGTAATTAATTGGAATCTTTCCTTCTAACCAAAACTTGTTTGTATTATATGCACACAAGTATATCTCTTTTATCGAGTAATTATTATAAATCCGGTTGACTGTACTTGCGGTGAAATTAAGTATTGTCTCTCGCGATAGTAACACTAACCTCACCATTTCTTTAAGCCCATCATGAACCACCAAAATAACCGATGGTAAAAGCCAGAGAAAATTTCTCTTGAGCATAGAAATGACTCTGACTTTAATACTCTACACTTGGTTTTAGCTATTGATTGCGGTTTTGTAGGGTCTCGATCCAGTTTGGTGGGGTTGAATGGTTGCCAGTGCAATTGGGACAATACTTAATTTCACCGCAAGTATGCGTGTTTAATTGAATACTCGGGTCTAGGGGTCTTATAGCTTAACTTATCGATAGGTGTACGACGTGATGCAGGTACTGCGGTTGCCAGGAGTAGTTTCCTCTCTCACGAAATAGTAGGCGCAATTAGTGATTTAATGGGATTACTAACTGCCTAACAGTGATGGAGCTGGACTTCGCCCGGGGCGCCTGGAAGATATATATATAATTAGCATAGACCGTGTGCACCTGTGTCGAGCATGTACCTGTGCCGAGCACCTTATAATAAAGGCAGCATTTTAGCCACCATTTGGAGCGGATCCCTAGAGATCAGATAAGATGCTCGGCACAGGTACATTCTCGGCACAGGTGCACACGGTCTATATATATGCATGTTTTGTTAATTATGACTGTTAATCATATTCCCTCGGAGATATTAGATAATTGATTGGATGACTAGCTGTCAAAAATCCTGCTACAACTTTGGCATGCTCTTATTATTTTGATAAACATCCATAACCATGAAAGCGACGGATCTGGTGATTGATTTGGGGTGTATCTGGCCAATTGCTGGTTTATACTAGTATAATTGATGTAACCTTATTTAGTAACTGAAACTACAAAATATTAAAAGGCTCATGATCAGCGCTGACCATAAAGAACTCCACGCTTTATAGTAGTATGTACAATTTTTTTCTTGCTATATTCCCCCAATTGAATAATCTCGGCGATTACAGGTTTATAAAATATATACCTAGGCCACATGTACGTACTCTAGTGGTACCGCAATTTCTTTCATGTCACTTCTCTCAATTTAATTCAGCCGGACATAGAGTCAGCCTACCGAGATAATCGAGAAAGAGGTACCTGCCCACTTAAGTTTTTATACGCTAAAACCGACATGGTTCGATAGATATAACTTCGGAAATTCGAATTCCTGGTCTCATGTTAACAACTGCGGAAGTATGAAGTGTGGTTGTTCCACCAAAGAGTTATGTAAGGAAAAGCTAATCTGGCCTACCGAAGAGGTTGCCGTAATTGATCGCACGATCTGATAAGCTACTAGCACAAGATAAGGCCTAATGGGTTTGGCGAATGACGTATATGCTTACATCGAGCAGTCTATTAATCATATCAGATGGTCATGCAGCTCAGGACAAGGTTATCAGATTGCGCGTCAATGCTATAAATTTGTGCATCCCGGATGAGGCTTGCAGCGGTAAAGTACGGATCAACCTGGAGGTAGCAAATCAATGATGTGTACATACATGTAGCAGGAACGGGCACTGAGAAATTTACATGTAGTAGTTATTCTTAGAAGATTTGTTTGGGTCTTGGTGCACAACTACTCACTCGATTTTCTCAAGCTTGTCTCGGGACGGGCAAGACGAGATCGGGCGGAGACTGGCAGTCTCATTTGGCGGGACGTGCCTTGATCTCTCTTGAGCGGTGCCGTGGAGAACACTACCGCTGCTTAATGAGGAAGCCACAATTCAACAGTCTCCATTCTCAGCGTTGCGTAATCAACTAAGATCAGCGGATATTAAACCCTTTTCACATGCACACGTATACATCCCTGAAACGGTGAATCCCTGAAACGAGAATCGTCATTTGAACAGTGCAGATTTCCCCCCTTCGTCCATCAATATGGCCTATTATATATTCTATGAATGTTCCCTTCATCTTATCTGATTTGGCACTTTTATATCCAACCCTGGTAACTCTTATCGTCTGGAGGGAGTCGGTATAGGCGACTGTATATTGTCAACAACTGTTGAAGTTTATCTCGAAAATCGTGCTTGTTCGAACAGTATTGCAATGTTCGCCCCGCAGGGGAACAATGGTTCGGAAATTGGAGAGGAATTGCAAAACCTCGGAGAGACTACCCCGCAAGAGAGCTCGGAGGGAGTTATCATGCAGACGGGTGTAGCAAGGGTGGAGGCTGTTGCTCGCACATGGACGAGACGTTCTCTTTGGTTTGCATATGCTGGGTATGAGGCTTACTGTGCTATCTATTATCGCTGCGAGGGTTTTCTAACATCGAGGTCGTGTGTAGAATATTTCTTATGGCGATTTGTACATCGTTGGATATTCAGGTTACTAGTCTACTCGCATACAATGCTACTTCATCATTTGCGTCACATTCACTATTGTCTACTGTTGGTGTCATTGGAAATGTTCTCAATGGTATGACTTTCCTTACATGATTCTAGGAAAAGCTAGCTCACGGAAGTTTAGCTGTTATTCAGCCACCAATGGCCAAAGTCGCGGATGTCTTTGGCCGTAAAGAAGCCTTTGGAATCTCAATGCTCTTGTATGTCTTGGGATATATCCAACAAGCCGCCTCTAAAAACATCGAGGCATATGCCAGCGCTCAGATTTTTTATGCTGCTGGTTCAACGGGACTGAGAATTTTGCAGCAAATATTTATTGCAGATACTTCGGATCTGTTGAATCGTGCATTAATCTCGTCATTGCCGGATACGCCATTCTTGGTTACTGTATGGATTGGACCAGAGATTGCTGGGAAACTGGGAACTCCCCTTTGGAGGTGGGGATATGGTATGTGGTAAGTATGCTTGCTTACTCACCTGATAATGTGATTTGAAGCGTTTACTATAATTTAGGGCTATAATTACACCTATTCTTTCGTTGCCGCTTTTCATAGCTTTGTGGGTAAATCAGCGGAAAGCTGCAAAGGCTGGATTAATCCCACAATATCCCTGGAAGCAAAAAGGGGCTCTTAACTATATCAAAAGTCTATGGACAGAACTAGATATACTCGGAGTATTGTTGCTAGTAGTAGGATTCAGTTTATTATTGGTGCCGTTCACCCTTGCGGCCTCGGCGACCGGGAGATGGAAAAATGGAAGTATTGTTGCTGCTATTGGTAAAATCTATATTCCCGTAATACTGACAATAACTTGAAATCAACTTGCTGATAATATGCTGGATTAAATAGCTGTCGGTGGTGTTTGCTTGATCTTGTTCCCAATCTGGGAGATGTGGAAGAAGATGGCCCCAACACCACTTTTAACTTTAAGGTTATTGAAGAATAAAACAGTGCTCTCGGGCTGTGCTCTAGGGTTTTTCTATTTTAGTAAGTACAACCCATGTCACGTGGTGATATGAAAACAGTTTTTAACAACACCAGTGGCCTATTATCTATCGCTTCAGCCGTACTTTTATTCGTATCTTCAGGTGGCTAGAAACACAGGAAGCGTTGCCGCTGGTCGTATAACTCTTGTGAGTATATAAAGCCTCTTTCTAATTGTTGAAACTGAGTATTAACAATCGTACAGACCTTCTCCTTCGCATCAACTGCCTCATCAATCGTTGTATCTCTTTTTATAAAGTACACCCGTCACTACAAGTACTTTATGATCGCAGGTATCTGCATTTATGTGCTCGGAATTGGTCTCATGCTACGCTACCGCAATGCCGACGCAAACACGGCACAGATTGTCATGACTCAAGTCGTCGTTGGCATTGGCGGTGGTATGCTGAACGTTCCTGCGCAACTTGGAGTTCAAGCCTCATCCCTCCATCAAGAAGTTGGCGCAGCTACTGCAATATTTCTGACAATCGTGTCATTGGGTGGTGCTGTTGGTAGTGCAGTCAGTGGCGCGATCTGGACTTACAACATACAAAAGAAACTTAGCCTATACCTTCCGGAGAGTGCGAAGGGGGATGTAAAGAGCATATTTTCCTCAGCAGTCGTGGCACAAACATATGCGATGGGCACTCCTGAGAGAGTTGCAATAGTCAGGGCGTATGATGAGACTATGAGGATTCTTTTGATTATTGCGGTCTGCGTCTGTATCCCTATGTTGCCGTTGGGGATATTGATGGAGAACCATAAACTCGATCAAATTGACCAAGGTGTTTCTGGGGTTGTTATTGGATCATCCTCGAAAACAACAGCCGCTAAAGCCAGTCTCAGAGAGGGGGAGGAGGTCGGTAAAGAGGAGATCAATGGAGGAAGCAAGGTTTAGAAATTATGGGGATAATTTTCTACTTTCCACTTTTTGAAGTTGGTGTAGAAGTTTTTTTTTTTTTTTGTTTAATTCATTAATTGCATGCAACCTTACAGTTATGGCAATGACCCCTGAACTACCTGATCTCTTCCACCTCCTCTCGCGTTTGGCTGACATAGGAATATATGAAAATACATCATGTTGGCATATTCCTCGTCTCCGGCGTTCTTCAACGTCCCCCACCCATTTCCCAGTTCTCTCCTTTCTTCTTCCGCATTTTCATCCTGTCCTCTCCTCTCATGTCTCCTTGGTGTAGAAGTAATTGAGAGTATATACCCTAATGATGCTAATTTGTCCCGTGTGGACATAAATCGAGATATCAGTCGTACTGCCTACATGTACGTTGAAGTTACATGTAGTGAATACAAGATGCAGCCTTGTAGAAATTTTGTACATGATCATGGCCGTTCTTATAATTATGCAAAAAAGGTACGTGCAGCTAGATAAATGGTATACCTGTATGAACTTAAGGGGGGTGGGCACTGTGACCACATATTAAATCAGGTGATTGAAGTTCAAAGCCTCATAACTCTCCACACATTTGCTGAACGGGCCTACATGGATGTCTTGAAATACATGATAGTGTATGAGTATAATGCGGCCTCCGGCCACAAATTTACATGTATGTATACTCGTTTACCACGAAAAGAACCAGAAAATGCAGTTCCTCAGGGCAAGGATGATTTGTATGGAGTGGCGGTGATCTCTCATACAAATTATCCCTGTCTCTGTCACTTGCATTTTCTAGTTCTTTTCGTGGTAAACGCGCATAGTCCATTTCAGCTGATAAGCCTATTCCGAGGCGGAGGTGAATACATAATAGAATCATATCAGGTCCAATCTGGCCATGTGAGCACTATACTACAATACCTATTGCAGGCTCGGATTATTAAAACCTCTGACATGAGTACATGTAATTCTGTACTTGTAGTTATATATAGTATCGGTTCTTCCTAACATGTAATTACATGTATATATATACAAGTAGTTTCCAGCCTTCGGCCGGTACTATATGTGTATCAATCAGTCCAATATACAGGCAAGCCGCTTTGCGGCTTATTTTTTCTATTTGCCTGTCAGTCGGGGCTCTCAGGCCGCTGCGTGGCCCTCGACCCCTCCTGGCAGGCAAAGTCCATCACTATATCTAGATCTGCTCTGGTCGATATTTGCCTTTTCTGATATCCCCCATATATCAGCAGTTCAAGCTGCAAGTATATCCCTTTAATAGCCACCAAGTCACTAAAATCGAACTACTAATCGATTCCCAGAACCAGTAGAAAACATGTTAACAACCTAACACCACTCAGTACAATTAATACCCTATGTTAATATCCAACACAACATGTTTCAAGTGAAACAAAACCTCTCTCAATGAGCCAATCAGAAGACTATAAAAGCACATTGCATATGCAGGTTATAATTATATACTTATTAGATATATATACATTATAATGGGCTCGAGCTCACGTACAATAATCAGGAACGCGCACCGACCCCTCCTTGCTCACACGAACTGCAAACACCAATATGTCGTTCACAAAAGATATATACAGTCGCACCTCGCTATGCTGGATTCCAAGAACCAGGCAATTTCCATACGGGATAGCAAATATTCACGAGAAATCCGGGATAGCAAATTGATTTTGCAGTAAGAGAATTAAAATCCCAGAGGATTTCGTACGGGACAGCAAGGGATCCGGGATATTGAGACCCGGCATAGTGAGCTTGCGACTGTACATGTAGTATCTGGGTACTCAAGGTCGATATATATACAAGAATACGTGCAATTCTGTTGGTATTTGTTTAAGGTCAACTCCCTCCCTTTCTGAATCCTATCTAGCTCGGGGGGGTAGTTATTTGTCTATATGTTGTATTGCGTGCATGTACGTATGTGCTTCTATTCGTCAATAAAAATGCTTCGCGATTACAACGAAGAAGTTTATACTATTTAGAGATCTATCTATCCTAAAAGTTCTGTGGTAATTAATAGGTTATAACTACAAGATATAGGGAGGTTGCCCATTTTGGCCGGTTTTGGTCCAAGAACTACATTACATACATGTACTTATGCGTATATTTCATGTCGCATACCCGAGGCTTAAGATTACTGAATTAATAGTTTGGCCAATTAGCCTGTGTACGTGTGTTCTCTAAGCTTACATGTGGCTCTGGTTTGACAAAACCTTACACGTATGCACATGTACGTGAACTGACACTATAACTCGCTTTCTACACCTGACCTCCCACCATCTCTACGTAGCTACTCAACCAGTATTACCTTCACCAAAAAATACAGAACCATCATCTTCCTTTGATCGGAATAGATACCCAAATCTACCGAGCCCTAATAAATAGGATTAATCGTCCCAACAGTTCAGTAAACAGTAAGTTAAATACGTGCTGCATATATACCTATGCATATATGTGCATGTCAACACCTATAATCTTCCATCAACATAAATTGAATAACTGAGTATACTAACGCGGTAACATTTAGCTTCTAAGAAGATGAGCAAGATCGTCCATAGAAAGACACCTGGACAATGTTTCGAGTCTCACGAAACTCCCGAAAGGGCGTCCAAGGCTATTCCAGAGCCAACCATCGACAATGCAGAAAGCTTTATCACTGTGGCCACTAGGGGTACCCCCGAGGGATCTATCGTTATTCACGAACGCTTCCTAAAGTCCACTAGAGAGGGCCCCACTGGGATATCTTGTGTTCTCGCAACTCCTCCGGAATATCAATTACTTCAACATGTTCAACACAAAAGAGCCCCATATGATATGTGGGTTGAAGATGTTCCTCTCAAAAACCAGAGGATCATCCGCTGCCTTATAGTTCCTGATTCGGACTACACAGTTATCCCCATGAGCCTTGGGGAGAAAAGAGACAGAAATTATGCTAGACATGGATATTTTCTTCAACCAACCAATGGCGGTGTACGCATGGTTCCTGGTCATCGTAAAGACGTTAAATTCGATCTCATATTTTGGGATTTTGAACGGAATGACAAAAATGCAGGTCTTCACGGGGCTGGTGCCCGGAGGTTTCCTATTGATACTGCAGTCTTGCTTGATCCAGGGCCTCCCTATCAATCCTGTGCATTTGGGAATCCTGTCTGTTTGATAGGAATGGATTTCTTGAGAAAGTACCCTTATCTTATGTTTGTACCCAGTGTTGACTACCGCGGAGAGGTGGACTTCACGCTCTCTGGGAACCCTATGTTTTACAGGTCGTATACAACCTTTACAGAACTCTCGAAGACGCTTATCGTCCACATTTGTGCTAAATATGATGAAGGGACTGGGAATATTGGGTGTGGTGTCTTTTTCAAGTCCGGGTCTATCTTCAACATCTTCTCTGGTGTTAGTAGGTATGATAATAATGGGAGAGAGAATAAGGAACATTTATGGGAACGGGGTCTTTTAATAGGAATTATCAAAGCGCTGCATGTGGTTGCGTCATTCCCAGTTGGACATGGCTTCACGGATTTAGTTATCAGGACCGGAAGTCCACCTATGAACCAGCTCTTAAATCAGAAAAATAACCACGGAAATGATGGTTACAAATTCCAACGCATCGGCGATAAAAGAGAATCCACTTTGCATACTTCAATCTATCCGGACCTAGTTCAGTACATCCGTACCAATTTTCTTGGGAAAGAATCCTCGGTCAAAGCCCGATTTGAAGACTTTAGCACGAATGAGCATTATGATGCTATTGAGGCTGCAGGGATACTTGCGTCTGGAGGTGCCAAAATGGAGGAGTTCTATTTGGAAAAATCTGCGCAAAAATACAATCGGGATTACATGAAATCTAAGCGCATCAGTCCTCTAGGACAGGACCCAAACATTCTAAAGGAACTGTTTACCAGTTTTGGAATTGATGGTTATTTCAAAATTCCCTCCAAAGACGCATTAGGAATCATGAAAGCTGCAGATCAAGAGTCTTATTTATCTTTGTCTAGGGAAGATGCTGTATTTAGGCTGGGCTATCCTGCTTGGGAAGGGGAGGTTGCAGCTGAACCGAGTGGCTTTCTCGATGAGAAGAATTATGAATTTTATAAATTCTCCCCAGTTAGTGATTTAAAAACATTAAAGGGTATATTGGGGGAGGATTCTTTGAAAAAAATGATGATTTGCATCAAGAATCCCGGCTGGACTACTGGCGAAATCATGGATATCATAAGTGGTTCGACCAGAAAACTCAAGGTCCACGAATATCTTGCAATGCAGACAAAGGAATATCGTGATCAATATCTTAAGGAACTGGAAAGCAAGGGGCTCGAGAAAGGCTGGCATTTTTGTAAGGATAAATCATGGAACGGGTACATGAGAAAGAACGCCAAGGGTCGCACGTTGGAGGAATGTCTCGGGGTATCAAGTCGTGAAGAAAAGGTTATACCTAATAAGATATCGGGTAAGTATCATATTTACTGTATCACAACGCTCTCAACTAATCACAAAGGTAGAATCCTCGCAGTTCCGCACTCAGAAGTATTCCCAAGTGCCCGAGTTAGGTGACACGGGCCCCGGTGACACCTCTTACCATAGCAATTATACTTCTGAGAGTGAAGACATTTCATCGACTGGGGAGTTTAGCGAAACGAAACGATCCATAAAATCGATAGGTCTTAAGGCCAACAATGAATGGCTGCCGCTTATGAAACTAGGAGCTGTCACTAGAATGGAGCCCACCACAAGCGAGAGCGACCTCACATATAAATACGAGAGTTCAAATGATGACCAGAGTCACTCATCTGAGATGTGGGAAGATTCTGGAACGTGTACCAACCCCATCGAACTTATCGAATCTGATCTCAATGATCAGTATCCAACAACAGCAACCACGCCAAAGATTGCCGGCGAGGATGAGCATTTGAAGGGAAAACAAAAAACTTCCTATCAGTACTCCGCAAAGTTTCATCAGGAACCAGAAATCTTTCATCAAACCTGGGAAACTTATCTATCGGGTAGCAAGAATAAGCTAGAAAGGAGCCCCGAGGAAGCGCCTCCTAGTTTCCGAAAACGTAAGCAACCCATTGATACCGCAAAAGGTAGCTCTAGTACTAGTACATCGTGGATACCAGATTCAAAAACCAATACGACTCTATATAGAGCCAAGGTGAAGAGCAAAAGCTACCATTTTACATTAGGAGATTCAACAGATTCATTCGAAAGTGAAGAGGGGCTTGATTTGAAAAACAGGGCAGCAGAGCCAAAATGGCCGCCCTTTGAATGGGCTCTGGAGAACGGTTTCCAGGGGACGACTTCCTAATTCTGTGACTTATTAAACTACTTTATACGACAATAGTCAAAAGAAAGATGAAAATTAGTGTCTCACTCTTGAGAGACTGGATCAAGGGTCTTTTGGCTGTTCTGGTGCTAAGAACTTCTCTTTAGCTACTACGACTATTGATTTGTTAGCAACGCTTTGAAACCTATCTGGGAAAGAAGGGAGATAAAGATACTAGTATCTCTAGGTGTTGGAGAACTTAATTCTTTCTTCCCTGCTTTGATTGTGTAACTACCTAAGTACTTAAGTAGCTAATACTATAATTTGACAAAAAACAGGCAGATTTTGTGCTTATCTGTGATTTGGAGGTTTCAAATGTACACTTGTGGTGTAAAATTGCGAAATGTTCAAAGTTAATATTGATTTCCCTGTAGGTGAAGTCTGAGATTCTCGGAATTGCGGGCTTCTCAACACTGGTGAATGATCTGGAATGAACTAGGGCTATGACCAGGAGCTAGAAGTGCACAGTACTATGTAAGAGTCTAAGCGTAGTCTATCAGCCTCCGTCCCGGTAGACAGAAGCTCGAAGGGACAATAGAACGGAAAAATCGCATTTCAGAGGTTTTGATGAAAGCGAATTCAGATATAACTAAAGCCACGCTTTCAGGTCTGCGATTCTAGTCGAAAATATATACAGCAGTAATGGAGGTTATTAGATGAAACGGAGGCGGGATGATTAGAACCCATTATCGAGGGACCACTGTTTTATCCCCCTTCATTATTCACCTCAAATCCAGATCTTCCGTTGAGCAGAAGGGTTTTTGGGCGAGTGATAATCCGTGACTGTATCGATTATGGCTACCCTACGGTATGGGGATTTCCTGAGTTAATGTACCAAGAGATCTGGTGGGTTTAGTACCTCATCTGGTAGAACATCACGAGGTTGCGGTATGGTACGTATGGTACGTACATGTATGTGTGTAAATCCAAGGGTCACCTTTACCGTTTATTAAAACCATAGTAACCAAAAACATTTTCGGCTTGGTTCAGGTATCATAAACATCATAATAATAAACTTAAATACATGTAGGTGCTTCATTCAGTCCACTTCAGTCGAATGTTTGGATGGACTGGCTTGGCCATCCATGCAGTCAAAAAGTGCCAAGTCAGTATGTCCAAAGATCTGCTTGGCAGTGGCAGTGGCAGTGGCAGTGCCAGTGTCACCGTTAGACTACTCTAGTTTGGACGTGCTTGCTTACCAGCAAAAGGACCAGCTACTCAGGGCAAGGATAATTTGTATGGAGTGGCGCCGTTCTCTCATACAAATAATCCCTGTTTCCGTCAGCTCAGTTGGTTCTTTTGCTGGTAAGCAAGTACCCGTTTCAAGACCGGCAGCGATAAGTATATGTGGCGAAGTTGGAAGTGGGGTTGATTTAAGACCCCGCTCGAAATCAATTGCCGTTGAATTAAGATCCCCTTACGACGTATACATAATTCCAATACTTATGTACACAAGATGTTCGTAAAACGGATTCTCGAGTACAGCGTCCTACTATCGGTTGTCTCCCAAAGCGTGTGTCATAGTCATATTAATGATGAGGAAACTGAAGCTTCCGTATTAGAAGAGCTCCACAGAAAATGGGGAGTTGATGTATGTGCCGACCACCCAATTCATTTTTTCTCTATTTCAGATTTAAAATATTAAAATAAATAGTATGCTTTCTCTGGAATATCTACATTCGCACATCTTCCATATGTCAGGTGTCTCACAACACCTCACGAGAAGTTCGATATTGCCATCCTTGGAGCGCCGTTCGATACGGCAGTGACATACCGTCCCGGTGCGAGGTTCGGGCCAAAAGCTATCAGAGCTGCATCTGCCAGACAAGTGGGGTTCAGAAGCTTCAATGCAAAGGCTGGAATAAACCCAGTTGGTCTCCAAGATCAAGTTCATAAACGCAGTCTAATTAGGGGATAGTACATGTCGTGGCCCCGCATTCTTGATTGCGGTGATAGTATGAGACAGCTCCTTAATATCTGTTAAAATGATTTTACTGATCAGAACTCCAACAGTACCTATCACACCTTTCGATAACGAATTGGCGCTGCTCCAGATGACCGAAGCGTTCCGCGAGTTACTTGGCAGACAGAGCTTCTATTCAACTCAAAATGACAATGGCAAAAAGCCGCCAACACTCATTACGTTGGGCGGTGACCACTCAATTGCACTTCCGGCGTTAAGGGCACTGAAAGAAGTGTACGGGCCTGTTGCAGTCCTACATTTTGATGCTCACCTTGATACTTGGCACCCTTCAAAGTACCCATCAAACTGGCCCTCGGAACAGTCGGCCTTCAACCATGGTTCCATGTTCCATCTCGCCTACCAAGAAGGCCTCCTCATAAACTCCACAGTTCACAAAAATATACACGCTGGCCTCCGCACCCGCCTCAACGGCGACGGGTGGGATGACTACGAAGATGATTCCTCAATGGGGTGGGAGCGAATCTCCACAGACGATATTGACGATATCGGCGCAAAAGGCATCATTGAGAGGATTATGACCACTCTTGGTACCGAGATTCCTGTATATTTGAGCATTGATATTGATGTTATTGATCCTGGGCTTGCGCCTGGAACTGGAACACCGGAGCCGGGTGGTTGGACTGTGAGAGAACTGGTAAGAATTTTGCGGGGTATTGAGGGGTTGAATTTAGTAGGTGTAGATATGGTGGAAGTTTCCCCAGCTTATGATCATGCGGAGAACACTGCGTTGGTGGCAGCACAAGTTGTCTTTGAGATCATCAGCAGCTTGGTGAAAAGGGGGTTGGAGGTACCAGTACAGCGAGTGGTCAAAGACCAAGCCAAGGACGAACTATAGATTTAAAGGCAATTGATATTGAGGTTCAATCCCTTATTTAGAATAAAGGTGCAAAACTACCTGGGACCGGTGACATCCATATTCTCTGACCCAGTACAAACTTCTTATATTCAAATCAGACAATACAAATTGAAAAACAGAACAACGTTAAAGGTCATAAATGATATCAAACAAAAATACAGCCCAAGATCTGATGTGTAGATTTTAGCCCCATACTCCCAAGCTACATGCTTTTCCTGGCCTGGCGAATGTAAGCTCAATATGTATTCATCTATTATATCAAAGGAGTAAATAGGATAAGGGAGCTTACCGTTAAAGACTCTCACGTCAGACGTAAGTTGAGCTTGGCGCTGGTCGCTTTGATGAGTCCATCTGTCGGGGGTTTTCTCAAGGCTAATACAGTGACTAATCCTTTGTATCTGCAATTATACCTCGTTGAGCCGTCTTCACAGGCGTTCTCCTTCCCAGTACCCTTCTCCAACATCCCAACAATACAGTAGGCCTTATCCCCAGGGTTAAGTGTATAAGGTATTATGAAAGTATTGCAGGAGAATGGAGCATCCGATGTCTTAATCAGCATCTCATAGAAGACATCTTTTTCATTGACATCCTTGGCTTGGAATAACCACCGTTTCTTCTTCTCATCGCCCCTCGGCTCTGAGGTTTTTATAGTAGTTTTCTCAAATTCGAAGCACATGAGATTACAATCGAGTCCATCTTTTGTAGCTGTAACATGTTCTTTCGTCGGAGTTATATCCTCCATTACTCCCTGTGTTGTCATGAATGACTCTGGCGCCCAGCGGAAACCAGGGTCCTGGAGTTTTGGGCCTATCAAGAAAGGTGTATTCCTGGGAAGTTTGGGAATATTGGTCAAAAAAGTTTTCATCCTCTCCTTGGCTGCCCAGGCAGACTTTATCGTTTGGGCCTGTCTTTTGGGTGTTCCAGCAAGTATATTTTCATCGGAGTAATTGGTATTTGCCAATTCGTAGGAACTGATTTCGCCATCATGGATCAAGTCGATAACAGCAAGAGTCTCATCATCTACTCTACCAGCAGCTCTTGTGGCAAGCGCTCGAGAAATATCCCAAATATTGCTGTAAGGGTTGGAACCCGGCATATGCATTGTGAGTTGATAGAAGTCGATAGCTAGGTGACCCTGGAGACAAGTCATTTTTTCAGGCAATATTTCAGAGGCTGGTACGAGTCCGTCCCGAAATTCAAAAACCATTTCTTTAGCATAGATTGCTTCCTGTAAAGTCCAAAGTCTCTGCATCCAAACTGACGTCAAAATCCGTAGCAGCTTTTTTTCGTGTGGTGCCTTCGTGGATAATCCACGTATTCCGGCGTCGATTACCAAAACCTTTGCTGCCCCTTTATATGTTTTCCCCATCAATCGGATTCCCTCGTCTCTCTTATCATCGGGGATACAAATTGCATCCACCCAGAACGCACCATTCCCTTCAGGTGCGATCTTACGAACCAGCCTGTCAATCCTTTCGAGCTGACATGTCGGCAATCCGTCTTTCGTGCTACCTCGAAGCCCATCTGACCATACATGAGAAACCGCAACGTAAATTTCTTCCGAATCTTTCGTGACCTTCTCAACTTTCAAGCGGTCTTCGTTCCCGTTGGCCGCTGGATAGAGTTTCAAGACAGGAATACTCTCTGTCTTCAAATCAAGAGATTGAAGTACCTCCTTAAATGGAGGTTTTATATTCCCACAACAACAGTCCCGGGGGTAATGCTCAGCAGAAGTGTCCCCTATGACTACGTTACCCTCGCAACGAAGTTCAGTGCAATTTTGATGACCATTGAGTGAAGGTACCGGTTTGTGGTTCATGGCGTATACTACCGCAGTCATACTTTCAAGCTTGCGAAGTACAAAAGGGCACCACCCTTTTGCAATCATCTCCTTTTTGTAGGTTGTACAGGTTTCGAGTACAAATCGTGACTTGAAAGGCTTCACACCCGTGGCTAGTTTCCCCGTTCTATATTGACTCTGCATGATTTCAATGCTCTCTACTATCATTGCAATGACAGCGATGATACCCTCGAACTCCCCGGGCTTGGAGTCGGGGTGTATAAATACGTTCGTGTCACTGTTCACAAGGTATCTCTTGAGGAACGTCCTCGTGTGGCGTGCAATACCAGCAGCAGTCGTGAGTCGTATATCACGCTCCGGCTTCTGGAGACCCGTGATAGTACTAACCCAACCCGCAAAGATTTCGGGAAGGTTTTTGCTGCTTACGACGAGTCTTTTCGCGCCTTTTTTCTCGACCAATTCCTCGACCAGCTTGCTTGCATCCATTGATGCTCCCAGCACGGCTTTCAACTGACCGAGGATCATGCAGTACTGGTAGTCTGCCGCACGGGCCAGGACCGGGTCCTTTCCTTCATATAGCTTGTCGAGTTCTTTGAGCCTGGCTTCATAGATTTCTTCGGGAAGTTGATGGGTTTTTTTGGGTTCTTCGGAATTGGAAGGTTTGGGGCCTAGCCATGAGGCGGATACGTAATTGATTTCGTGGGCACATTCCATCTTGGAATTGGGGTGTAGATTATCGATCCACCGGGACTTCAAAATTCTCAAAATTCAGTGAGTTTTCGTTGAATTAGATTTTGGGGAATTGTTACCAAATCAATTGTTTTTTATAGCAAAGGTAAGGAGACCTTGAACCGCGATTTCGCTGACTTCTGTTAAACAGATACTGATTGCTGATGTTTTGGAAGTTTGTGGAGTTTTTCTTTCTGATGATGCTGGTCCTAGATACTCGCTTTTCCTCCCATCTTATATACCCGAATTTCAGTCAAGTTACATACAATCTAGCTGTTGATCGACCATGCTACTATTCACGGGTGAGCTGAACTTGTCGGACCTTTGATCAGGAAAAGACAGGTCATGTTTCACGGAGAGCTTTTCAGCAAAACTCTGCAGCCAGCTGAAGTTCATGTAGGTGGGTGTTCTAGGCCTGGGCTTCATTGTGACAACAATCGGAGACTCGAACATAATGAGTACAGCATGCCTAGTGCTGTAGATCTGCTGTATTATCTGCGACTAGTGCTGTATGATCTACGCCACTTTGACCAACTAATTGGCAACCCCTCTCACTCTCTAATATTATCAAAGCGTTTTGAGTGAAGGATTGGAGAGGGTGCAGTCCGCAGTACTCTATGTAGGTAGATACATGTATGTAGGTAAATACCTTACCCTGATATGTGCTCAGGTGTTATTCTGTGTGGGGGAGCTTAAATTTCGTTGCGCTGCAGCAGGGATATTCTATGTACACCAAAACTTGTATACCGCCAAATCTCGAGTTATTCGGAGGGTTGCCAAGGCCACCAGCTAAACCATATTTTGTTTAGATCCTGCAGAAGAGGGCTGTTTTCCTGAAGATCCTCAGCTTTTTCCCTTGGCAACCCTCGAGATTTGGCGGTATTGACGTTCAAAGACTGCCTCTGGTAGGCCTATAACCCTGTTATCTCGCACCGAATATTCTCAGGTTTTGCGGTACCACTTTAGTGCCAAGAGCTGTCTGAACCAAGAACGGTACTACCAGACCTAATCGAAATATTTTTATAACTACAGTAATTAAGAAATGATTTTTAAAGTAATTAAGTAGGATGATAGAGTAAGGAGCAAGTGAAATTGAGTCGATAGGTGTATAATAAAATTAAAAATATGTGTGAGCTATAAGTGATCAAAGGTTGGGATGTCCAAACTATGTACTTCGGCTCAAGGGTTCTCCCTCCATATAGCAAACCCCGTGGTCAAATAGCTCGGGCCGAGCCGTTATCGGGGTAGTACTACTCCATGTAGGTACCACTCAATTCTACTTGCAGGAATACATGCATCCTTCAGCGCCTAAAATTCATGGCTGATTTCCCCTCACGCTTCATTATACTACATTGACCTGCTGATGCAGAAGGGGATTTCGTGCCCGCGTTCTATTAGTTCTTATCCGCTCTTATCAACTTCTTTCTGTCAATTGATCGATCAAAGGCCCCTCAACGTTAGTTATCCAGGGTCAGTTTCTTTGGATGCTGAACCACACACCTATCTTAATAGAGTAAGGAAGACCTAATAAACCCCCACTTTAGAGAAAGAGCGGGTATGATTAGGAATGCTCTTAGTCCAAGAAATTACAAATTTCGATAGTTTTGAGAGGGAATTAACATCATGACCCAAAGAAAATTCTTATGAAAATACGAAATTCTGATATCATGCTGCGATACTAACTATACATCAAATGGTAGGAGCCAATAATACAAGAAACAAAGGATCTACCAGAACAAAGGGAACAATAGAATACTACATGTAGTACCCTAAAAAACAAGAGACATGCAATCGCGAATAAATACCCAGGGTATACATCTGATATCCTAGACGCCGTCAAAGAACACATTCATCCACCTCCCCAAAGCTCATATACAAGAAAAATAAAAATCGAGAAAAACATTAAAGGACGACAAAGGGTTCATTAACTCCATTGATAAAATGCCTTGGTTGAGAAAAACCGAAAGAAAAAATCACAACCAGGATATAAAAGTTTCTCATTGCATCATAACTGTGTATGAGCTGCCTCAAAAGAGTCTATCTCGGTCCACTGAAGCAGACGAATAAAACAAAATAAACAGGTATTAGCGACTGAATTATCGATACTTTTGAGCTTCTATTAGCAATTTGATTTTCGTGTTCCAACCTATGCCGGTGGTAATTTTTTGGCCAATGGGTTTGTCGACATTAAAGCTGCTGCAAGATCATTGGGTAGAATAGGCTTGGCGATATGGCTAACCATCCCGGCGGCATGGCATTTTTCTCTGTCACTGGCAGTGGCATTTGCTGTGAGCGCAATGACAACAGGTCGTTCATCATCCGCATATCTTCTTTGAAGTTCTAAACTAGTTTCGATTCCATCCGCTCGTGGCATTTGGATGTCCATCAGAATAACCTGTGAATAGAAGTTGATTGGTTAGTCTAGTGTAAATAATCCAATACTAAATTGGGGAAGACATACATCGAACATCGCCCCCTCTTCAGCAGCGACTTCGCACATCTCTAAAACTTCAATCCCATCCTTTGCATGTTTTGCTGAATAACCCATTCTTTTCAGGTGTTGCAGGGCAACCCTCGTATTTACTGGGTTGTCCTCGGCTAGCAAGATATTCAGTGGATGTCGTCTGGCAAGAGATCGCAGTAATTCAGATTCCTGGGTTCTTGTAGGAATGCTGGCTCGTTTCCTATTTGGATCTAGGGCATCGTGGATAGCCTGAACATATCGAGCCCTTGGTGCTGGCCTGACAAATGTCAATACAATATTGTAACCCGCCGCCGCAGCGGGCAGGTTAAACCCAAATCTTGACATCATGATAACCTTGATACCCTTATCAAATTTGTTGATTTGATCGACTACCAGACAGGTTTTGTCTACGGATAAATCAATAAGAGCGAATTCGTAATAGCCAACGCCAGCATCACGGATAGACTTGAGGGTCTTTTCAGCTGTATTGGCCCGAGTGAGTGTCAAACCTTCCACCTCAAGCTCGTCTGCAAGAATGTTGGACGAAAGAACATGTTTGTCCGCAATTATCGCTTTCTTTCCGAGAAGCCTTTTATCAGGTCCCCATGCTTTCCTTTCTGTAGCATCTCCAATAATAGTCAAGTGAAAGGTTGAACCCCTCCCCTCTTGACTCTCGAACCTGTATCAATTTAATCCTATCAGCCTAAACCCTAAAGACCCGCTAAGGAAACAAGACATAATGCTTACCAAATATCACCACCCATCATCTCAGCCAATTTCTTTGAGATAGCCAAACCTAGCCCAGTGCCCCCATAAGTTCGACGTGTAGACGTATCCACTTGTGAAAATGCTCTAAAAAGACGGTCGAATGCACTCTCGGGAATTCCGATCCCGGTATCCTCCACAGAAACCCGAAACTTCCACTTCTCACTATCTGGCAACTTTTCGGCCTCCGTAGTTACCAGGATATGCCCTTCTTGCGTGAACTTTACTGCGTTTCCGATCAAATTAATAACGCATTGACGGAAACGAGTAAGGTCCCCGTGAACCATGTCGATGTTTGTGCACTTATTTCTGAATGCTAACTCCAAATCCTTTGTGGCAGCCGGTTCAGCAACGAGTTGCAAAGCACTTTCGATGCAGTCTCGTAGAGAAAACGGCGCGACTTGTAGGTCTATCGCCCCGTGCTCAATCTTCGAGAAGTCCAGGATTCCATCGATGATCTGGAGTGTTAAAACAGCAGAATTACGAATCGTTTCTACATACTCTCGCTGTTGCTCCGATAATGGCGTGTCCAGTAAAAATATGGAACAAGATAGAAGCGCGTTAAATGGAGTTCCTAAGAAAAATCAATATTTGCTCTTAGAGTGTTTTGTAGAATGGGGAGCCTACGTATTTCATGCGACATATTTGCCAAGAAACTTGACTTCTCAGCTGTAGCTTCCTCTGCCGCCTTCTTTGCCAACTCCATCTGTCTGTAAAGTCGTGCCTTATCAATTGTAACGGCAGCTTGGGTGCAAAGAAGGTTTAACAACTCTTGTCTCTGTCTTGTAAACGCATGATTTACGAGCTTATTCTCGAGATAAAGTACTCCCATTGTCTTAAGTTGGTTTTGAATTGGCATGCAAAGAACACTTTTGGCCGTTTTGGAGGTGAAATAACTGTCTCTTCCATAAACCGAATCGAATTTCGGATCATCGCCATCTTTTAGGATTTGTTCTCCTAAGCTGGCGACGATATTGACAATGGATATAGGAACTAAATCTGGCCTCATCTCCAATGGCTCGTGTTCTAATATCGACACCTGGTCGAGTAACCCAACAGTCTCTATGTGGAGGTTCCCATCCTCTTTCAGGATCAAAACTCCATAATCTGCCCCGGCGGTTTGGAGCACACTATTCATGAGTTTGACTATAACCTCCTCGAGATGTATACCTTCGGAAATCACCAAACTAGCTTTAAGAACAGTCCGGAAGTCCAGTTCTGAGCCCAAAGACGAAGGATCGTTATTTCTATTTGAAGATGCATGAGAGGCCGCATCGTCCTCGTGCGGGTCTGGGGCAAAGAAATCTCTTGATGATGAAAGTGAGGGTGATTGGTGGTTCATTATATTCTGATCGAATCCATAGTCATGTGCATAAATACGCGAAGATCTTGGGCTAGGCCTTGGAGAATTAATTGAATTATTCGCCATTATCGCTGACATGGTGTCGCTCTCTATCCTGGGCATAGCTGGCCTATTATCTAAGAGAGATTTCGATTTGAAATCAGTAGAGGTTTCAGTAATCCCTTCATAAGACAAGATGTCTAGAGAAACATACCTGGGCCCTTAAATACCAAATCTTCCGCAAATTTTTTCCTTAGCTCCATAGCTTTATTTGTCGCACCCCAGGAAGTATATGCCTTGACAGCCTCTCTTAAATACGGCGCAGCCCTTCTTCTCGAGATGGGCTTTAGCCACGTTCCGCAGCGTTCGCTCGCTAAAGCAGCATCATGAATAAACCCACTTTGATTAGCAAGGGAGATGGCATGGTCGTATTTGTCTAAAATCTCAAGCTGCTTCCCAGGATCGATGCACCTCATCATTTCTGCCTCTAGCAAAATGCTCTTATGCAACCAAGTTCCTTTTGCGGTCAAGCTCCAGATCTGAATGTTTTTGCAGTTTCTTTCTAGTAGAGCCTTCTCTTCGTCTGATATTCTTTCATAGCGATCCATATAAGCTATCGAAGAATAAAATTCTGTGAGGGCTCCAAAGAACGCACCCACCATCGCGCCCCCCACCGGCTCGCAGCAGTGTGTTGCCAAATCCGCTGCGATATCGTAGTATCCGTATATGGTGGCTATAATCAGACGGTACATGTGGTATAGATATATATGGCTTATACTCTCGCTGTTCATGATTTTCATAAGATCTTTACTATCGCCCAGCTCCTCTCCTTCGAAACAGATTGGATCTGGGTTCCCTAAACCTCTAAGATTGAGCAAGAAC